CAGAAAGTGATGCGTGATTTGCTTCACCACCAGGAAGGAGGCCAGTGAGATGTGGGTCCTGGAGTCGTCACCTGGTGGTGATCAGGTGGCCTGACAGTGTCAGAGGAGGTGACAGCCAAGGTTGTCCCTCGCTAGTAGGTCCCCTCCAGCTGGACGCTGCTGCCACCTCCTGCTACCCCCAAGGCATACCCGGGCTGCCCCAATCTCTGGACACCCCTCTCCCCCCAGGGGCCTCAGACTCAGTCTGGGAGACAGACTGGAATTTTGGGGCAAATTTTACTTCACCCAGGGCTACCTTTTTGTAGGTAATACAAAAATGGGGAGGTGTCAGCCTGTCACTCTGTCCCAGGTTCATTTCTGTCCCTGGCTCATTTCTGTCCCCTTCTCAGTGTCTATCTCAGCCTCATCCATCTCTCTCTCTCTCTCTCTCTCTCTCTCTTTCTCTCTCTCTTTCTCTCTCTCACACACACACACAGACACACATGCACACACACATACACACATGCACACACAGGCACACGCACCTCTCTGTCAATGAGCCTGTGGCATGCAGCTTTCACAGTCACTAGGACGCAGCCTCACTCTGCTCCACAGCTCTTCTGGGCCTTTCCCTGTCTTTACAAAGAAAACACAAGTTTGTCAGACATGCCTGGGTGCAGCCTGGTGGAGAACCAGGCATGTGGCAGAGTGACCAATGCCAGGCATGGGTAACTGGCCCTTGCCTGACCCCCCTGCTCCCCTTGGATTCAGGGCAGGGCCTGCCAGTCTTGGCCTGTGTCCCCACCACTTGTCCCTTCCAGCTTCTCTGGGGAGCAGGCGTCCCCCTCCTTTCCTCAGCCACATTCCAAGATCCCCAACAACCTTTCCCTCCCTGCTCTGTTCATCTTGTCCCCAGAGACGTTGAGGCTATCACCTCGGCTCCACGTACTGCAGTGTGTGGTGTCCCCCGCTTTCACTTTAGCCTGTGACGAAGTCATAGGCCGGGGAGCCTCTATCCCAGGCTTTGCTGCGACACCGTTTCCCATGAATGCAGGGTGAGGAGGCTTCTTCCTGAAAACTTGGACCCTCCAGGATTTTCGGTCGGGGCCCTTCCCACCGATGTCATAAGATGCTGACAGAACTGGCTTCCTTCAGAGGACCGAGGTCGCCAGCCAGGGGCCTGTGCCAGCACTGCTCTGTCGGGAAGTTCCCTGTGGCTGTTGAGGGGTGGGAGGGAGTACTGCAGGAGGCTCTGTCCCCCAGCATAGATGTTTTTATTTCTCCTTTCTCTGCTATCTTATCTTCTTCTGTATCTGGTTATATTTCACTTTGTGCTAGATATTCTATTTAAAAATGACTTGTAAAAAATAGAAAAATAAGAATTCTTTGTAGAAATAAGTTGACATTCTCTTTGCAAGAGTGATTTTTTGTTTGCTTTATGCCAGATGCTTGCCCGTGCTAAATCCCCAGGGGACATGAGGGTGATCTATGGATCATGTGGTTAACTGTTGGTTAATTTGGGGTCACTTTTACTCTGAAGATAAGTCATTTTGTGGCCCCAGTCCAAGGCAGGGGGTGGTTTACCAGCTCCCCTCCCTTGGTGGGTCTCAGCTTGTGACTTTTTTCCCTCAGTTCCACAAAGCCACCTTGTAGCTCAGCCTCTTTTGGCCTTTCCTGGGTCAGTAAATGTCCAAGAGCAAAAGCAATCCTCTGAGCTTTTAATAACTCTCCAGGTTTCTGGCCTTTCCCGCATTTTACCTGAATAATTGTTAACTTTATGATGTTCTTTAATGTTATAATATTATTAAAATATCTTATCCAGTTTTTTTAGGGGAATGGCAGCTCTGCATCTGACAGTCCACACTTATAGGCTGCAGGACTCCAGGTTGCCATGACTCGGTGTCAACAGAAATACCTGCTCTGTCTTTAGTCTCTGTGGTGCAGCTCGCACACGAGAACAGGTAGATAGCATTTCCAGCATCTCACCCCTCTTCTCCCCCTGCTGGGTGGCCTCCCTTGCCTGTAGTTCACTACTCTTCTTCCCCATTCAGGTTCATGTAGCTCAGGCATACCAAAAACCGGAAAGCTCGCCTTAGGCATGACAGCAAGGAAAATATTTCTTCACTTCTTTAATTCCATCTCCCTCTACGGAGAAGAGTGGTGAAGCACATGAATAGAGAGGAATGACCAGAAATGAAACTGAAGGAGAATGTTGAGCATCTGTTGGATATTCAATTACATTCCATGAGCAAAGCTGTGTACCTATCGAGTAGTAGGGGCTAGAAGAGAATCCCAAAACGTGGGTGCATCAGTCTGGGTCCAATATGAAGAGAAAAACCACACAGTAATTTGAACAGGGAAAGATTAATGTAAAGAAGTATTAAGTGTAACTGAAGATTAGAGGAATGAAGGATTAGCTAGTAAGAAATAAAGAAAACTCTCAAAAATATACAAATCACAGCTATAAAGAACAAGCACTACCCTTAGGGCTGAGACAGAGTGCCCAAGGCTCACTGAATGGCAGACAAGTCACTAGTGGACTTTGCTGTAAATCCAAGTTCTCTGTAACTTGCCAGAAACTTGCTGTAAATATGCCCTCTGCAAGTACTGGAAACCTTCCTGCTAGAATTTGACAGAAATCTCCCTCTAGAGTGCAGAGGAAAGCTTCACTTTATAGGAACCTGCCCAGCGAACACATGGGAACCAGGAGGTAAAACCCTTTCTTCCTACAATTTATTTCCAGTACCTCCTACTGAGGAAAGCTTCAATTGTGCCACTGGCAAAGGGAAAAGTATTTAAAGGGTTCCTATCCATTTTCAGAGCCAGCAAAATGGGTTGCAGTTTGAACCAGGAGGCCATACATCAATAAACAACACAGCATATCCGTTCTAGTCCTCAGTTTCTCTGTGCATCCTCCTACACACATTTACACACTTATACAACAGCAAAACAACTCTGTATTTGTACATAACAAGGTACACCTCTCTTTCTTACAAGCACAGAAATTCTCACCCTTCTCCCAAATGAGGAGATGCACAGTCCCAAGAGTCATTGTATAACTGACACTGTTGGGAAATAGAGTTAGGAGACATGGAAAGTTTCAGAAGTTTTCTAGGGTTTGCCTTTAAGGGATCTGTGGGTGTGTTAGTTCACAGACCAGAAGCTGCTTAGCAACAAGGGGGGCATTCCACTGATCAGCGGTGACTGCAAAGTGGTGCTGGATATCAAGGCCTACAAGCCAGTACCTAGAGCTTATGTAAGGCAGAGCTCAGCATGGGGCCCAAGGCTAAGAAACTGATTGAAAAATGCCAGCCCAGCAGACAACCTGCAGCTGCAACTATCATAAACCTCAAGACTATTTCTGTTTCACTCCTGACCACATGTTTTGGAATATAGAGAAATAGATGTGGGAGTGGAAAGTATAAAGAAGAAAATAAATAAAAAAGAAAAAAAGAAGAAAAAAGAAAAAAAAAGAGAAATAGATTAGATAAGTATGTAGGCTCAGTGTTCCTGTTTTATACATTTTTATTTTTAACTTGTATGCTCAGCTAGGTCTATTATTAACTTAGGGCTTAAAATGTTTATCTTGGAAAAATTTTGTACCTGTTTACTCTTGCAGATAGAATTAGGTAAGGGATCTCTTGAAACCTTTGGGGGGACTTAAAACCTAAAAGAATAATCTGTACAAATAATTCTATGACCAAGGACAACTACTTGCCAGACCAATAAATATTGATGTGGGACTTCACTCAGGGCCTCCTGGCTCATGGGAATGCTGGAGGACCCCTATCTTTCCCATCACATTAAACTGCCCTTTGTCTCTGTCTCTATTATTTCCAAATCTCTTGTGACAATCCTTCCTGGGACCAGTTTTTTTGGGAGAGTGGCTAACTCCTGGCATGACACAGCAAGGAAATGGCAGGGAAATCCCACGCACTAGGCTGGGTGCTTTATATTTTATAACATTTAATTCTTAGAATCTTGTGAGGGAGGTGGTGTTCAAATATAAATAAGACATGGTGCTACTCCCTAGAAACTTAGAAGGAGAGGGACATGTTGACAAGCATTTCTAATATCGGGCAAAGTAATTTAAGTGCTAAAAGGGAGGTGAACGTTACCTGCTGTGGAATCCTAGAGAAGTGACTGACTCACTCTTACCAGGGGCTACAGTGTCTTGGTGGAGGTATTATTAGAACAGATTTAGTACTGGAACAGGCTTAGAAGGATGTGAAGAATTTCCAGATGCAACTGAGCCAGAAGTAAAATCCCACAGTGGACATGAGCATGTGCTATGGGGGCTGATAGGAGTGTTCAAATCATAACTCTGCCACTAGCCTTGTGGTTTTTAGAAAATTAAACTTTTTACACTTCAGTCTTCTCATCTTTAAAATAGGACACTAGGCCGGGCGTGGTGGCTCACGCCTGTAATCCTAGCATTCTGGGACGCCGAGGCTGCAGGATCGCTTGAGCTCAGGAGTTCGAGACCAGCCTGAGCAAGAGCGAGACCCCTCCTCTTCTAAAAAATGGAAAAAATTATCCCCGTGTGGTGGTGCGCGCCTGTAATCCTAGCACTCTGGGAAGCTGAGGCAGGAGGATGGCTTGAGCCCAAGAGTTTGAGGTTGCTGTGAGCTAGGCTGATGCCCCGGCACTCTAGCCCCTCTAGCCCCGGCTACAGAGTGAGCTCGGTCTCACACACACACACACAAAATGGGACACTAGCACTGACTTCTTACGGTGTTGAGGACCAGCTAAGGTCAGACATGTTAAGTTGGCTACCGGTTCATATATATATATATAAACACACACATATGTATACATGTATAACATTTTCCCCTCACAAATATACTTAAACATAGGTAGAAAGTGCAAAGGGGAAAGGTGCCAAACTTGGTATAGCCCCGACCACCCCTCCCTCAGAATCTCGCGCGTGTCGCGCTCGCGCGCTGGGCACTACTGCGCAGTCGCAAAACCTCATTTAGGCAGTGAGTTTCACGCTCCTTCCGCTTGGGGTCTCAGTCTTCTGCAGACGCCTCGTGGCTACAGTCGCTGCGGGGCTGCAGCTCAGACGCTGAGCCTCAGGCGCTCGGAGCCAGGCACCGCCACCTCACAATGTCTGATGAACCGGGTAAGGGACCCTCCCCGCAGCTTCCCACTAGCTTCTGCCTCAGGCTCTGACAGAGTTCAGACGGTGCCCACTTAGACGGCCACATGGTAGACCACCAGATTGGCTGGTCATAGGCTGGGGCGTGTCCAGTAGTGGCCTCCGGCCACTGGCCACCGATTGGTCAGCAAGGTTGGCCCCGATTGGTCAGTGAACGCATGGGAACCCCGAGAATGGCCCGGGGTTCAGGGTGTAACAGGGATTCGAGATGTCCCTGAGGCTCAGGGTGATCTTGAGCTTCGTGAAGTCTCTGTGGCTTGCGGCATCCCAGAGGCTGGAGGCTTCTTAGGGGCTTGAGGAGACCCGAGGACTCGCAGAGTCTGAGAGACTTTCAGCGTCCCCGGGACTCGTGGCGACTCTGGGATTCCCATCGTCCCCCCGGGTTTGTGGTGTCTCCTGTGGCTTTTGGTGTCCCCAGGGCTGGAAGTGACTTTGGGGCTCGTACAGCTTTCCGGGGGCTCGAGGTTACCCTGTACCTCATAGCGTCCCCGGGGCTCGCGGCGACTCTGGGATTCCCATCGTCCCCCCGGGTTTGTGGTGTCTCCTGTGGCTTTTGGTGTTCCCAGGGCTGGAAGTGACTTTGGGGCTCGTACAGCTTTCCGGGGGGCTCGAGGTTACCCTGCACCTCATAGCGTCCCCGGGGCTTGTGGCGACTCTGGGATTCCCATCGTTCCGCCGGGTTTGTGGTGTCCCCTGTGGCTTTTGGTGTCCCCAGGGCTGGAAGTGACTTTGGGGCTCGTACAGCTTTCCGGGGGCTCGAGGTTATCCTGCACCTCATAGCGTCCCCGGGGCTTGTGGTGACTCTGGGATTCCCATCGTCCCCCTCCCCCCGGTTTGTGGTGTCCCCTGTGGCTTTTGGTGTCCCCTGGGCTGGAAATGACTTTGGGGCTCGTGCAGCTTTCCGGGGGCTCGAGGTTACCCTGCACCTCATCCCCGGGGCTCGTGGCGACTCTGGGATTCTTCCCATCGTCCCCCGGGTTTGTGGCTTCCCCTGTGGCTGTCGGTGTCTCAGGGGTTTGAGGTAACTTTGGGGCTGGCGTGGGCGCCCAGGGAGTCGAGGTCACCCTGCGCCTCGTGGCGTTCCAGGGGCTCATGGCGACTCTGGGATTCCCATCGTTCTCTGGGTTGGTGGCGTCCTCTGTGGCCAGGGGGCTTGAGGTGACTTTGGGGCTCCTGAGGCCTCTCAGGGTCGCAAGGTTACCGTGCGCCTCATGGCGTTCTGAGGCTTGCGGCAACCCTGGGCCTCACAGAGTCCCTGGGATTCGCGGCGTCCCAGGGGCTCGAAGTGACCCTAGGGCTCGTGGCGAGTGCGCGTCGAGAGGCTGGTCATGGTTTCTGGCCTGAGGGCCCGCGGTTCTTTCCAGAGCCTCGAGCGGCGGTAGAGCGGCGGTAAAACAGCCTGCAGTCTCCCATCCAGGAGGCGGAGCCATTCCTAGCCGTTTCTTCGCGCCCTCCAAAGGGCGGCGTGCGGACTCTGGCGCCCGCGCTTTCTCTTTGAACTTTTTTTTTTCTGGCCGGTGTGCAGCTGCTGAACACAGCCCTGTGCGGTTTGGCTTAAGGTTAGGGCTCTTCTGGGGGGAGGGGACTTGCTCCCCTTCTGGGGGGAGGTGAATCTGCACTTTGCAGCCTCAAATGTCAGCCGCGCTGCGGTGAGGTGGTTTGAGTGGCTCCCACGACTCTCCCGGGATGCCAGCGCGTGTGAGCTTTTGAGATTTGGCAGTTTATTAGGTACTTGGTGCTGACTTTCTGGGACGAATTAATACTTTTTCAGCCCTTCTCTTCTTGGTGGAGGTGGGTGGGAGGGTGAGGAAGGACCCAGACTCTCGGGCTTTTACAGAGGTTTGTTTAAAGAATGGACAAACTCGCGAGTTGATTCATATAAAATCTTGTGAGATTGAGATGTAGATTTTGAGGCTGTGATGGTAACAGGGTTTCATCAAAGCCAGACAGAGCAGCCTCGCTGTTTTATTGTAAATACATAAAGGAAGGGGGGGGGAAAGATATAGGGGTGTTGTGGAGAAGTCCCTGGGTATGGAGCCTGCTCTTTGCTTCAAGAGGGCAGATGCCGGACTCAGGAAATACTGCAAAATGTGGGGATCCCTGCAAAGCCGAGGGGCCTGTTTGTTCCCGCTCGAGAGCCCAGTCCTCCCGAAGTCTGGTCGTTTGGTAGAAAAGGCTCTGCTTTAGTCTGTGGGGAATCGCTTCCCTCCCCCCTCTACCCCGCTCGGACTGCTCTAAGGTTTTATAACGAGAAGCGGTTAACTGGTATAAGGTTTACAGACAGTAATTTTCCAGGCAACTTTTCTGCATAGTGTTTTATACAGCAGAATATGAGCTAGATACAGTTTTGAGCCTCCCTTCTCTGGCCCGCAGCAAGTGCTGGGCGATGGGATACAATTTTGGCCCGGTTATACACCATTTGGCAGACTTTGGCGTCTCTAAAATTTAATACGGACAATGGAAGGGCTGCCTTTGAGAGGCCTGCCAGAAGATTTAGAAAGTGATTGGTCACTTTAAACAAAATTGGAGCGGTCCAGCTGTTGTAATCTGCACTGTTTTGCTGTGTATTCCTTTAAGTGGTCCTGGGGTGAAATGCAGTTTTCTGGCGTCCTCATTATCTGATATATTGATGGCAGGTGAATGCCTTGCACCTTGGGAGCTTAATCGTGAAAAAACTAGCAAATGTTATAATTTCTTTCATTTTTTTTTTTTTTTTTGAGACAGTCTTGCGTTGTTGCCCAGGCTAGAGTGAGTGCCGTGGTGTCAGCCTAGCTCACAGTAACCTCAAACTCCTGGGCTCAAGCAATCTTATTGCTTCGGCCTCTCGAGTAGCTGGGACTAAAGGCATGCGCCACCATGCCCGGCTAATTTTTTCTATATATATTAGTTGGCCAATTAATTTCTTTCTATTTATAGTATAGGCGGGTCTCACTCTTGCTCAGGATGGTCTCGAACTCCTGACCTCTAACGATCCGCCCACTTCGGCCTCCCACAGTGCTAGGATTACAGGCGTGAGCCGCCGCGCCCGGCCTATAATGTCTTTTAAACTTTGATAAGGAAGGTTATGTGTATACATAAAAGAATTAATCAGAATTAAACACATTTACTGAGAGACCTTGGTGGACTTGTCAATAGCTTTACTAGCTTTAGTTTGTTGATATACAGAAGTTCATCTTAATAAATTTTTGATTACCTTTGTTATTTTTTTCTGATGAGATGGTCTAAAGTTTATTGTGGAGAATCAACAGAGAAGTCTAATGAAGATAATTTTGCTACTCAGAGATAGCCACCTAGATAACCATTGGTTATGTTACTTTTGGCTCTCAAAGTTAGGATTAGACTGTATTTTTCTGTTTTGAATCCTCCCCTCCCTTAACATTATTTCACAAGCATTTCTAATATCAGTAAATTTTCTTTGAGAACATGCTTCTTCTCATTGGCTATATAGCATTTCATTTAGGGAAATGCCATAATGTATTTAACCTTTTGTTTATCCCTTTTGCTTAGATAATTAGATAGTTTCTAATGTTTTATTTCTCTCCCTGTAAAGACTATTAAGTAGACTTTAGAGTGACTCTTCAAACCCAACCCCATGTTTTAAGAATGAGAAAACACAGGCAAAAGAGTTAATGTATTTGGCCCAAAGGTCATACCTCTGGATAACTTAAGAGCCTAAATTGGAACCTTCATCGTGTGATCCCTAATTTAGTGCCAATTTCATTTTACCATGTGCCCCTTACACTAGCTAATTACTTTATTCTTATGCTTTGGTCTATTTGAAATCAATGTAGTGAATCCAAGTTATGATGCAGTATGTGAGTAAATACCTCAAGCTTACACATTTTCTTTCTCAGGCAAACTTTAAGAAATAAGAAAGCCCATTTTGATATCAGACATTTTGCATGATGGATTGTTTTTAATATTCATTAAATTGGTTTATGGAGTTGATATTTCACACCTAGTTTATTTGTGGTTACCTATTTCACATTTTGTGAGCTTCAATTTGTTTCATAATAACATTTACTTTTGTTCTTTATTTCTGCCCTATCATTCATCATAAATATGAATATTAATTTTTAGAGAACAAGTTTAGAAATTCATGGTCACTACAAGTGTGGCCATGTAACACTAGTTGCATCATTTAAGTTAAAAGCATATCATTGAACATACTGTAGCATGGGCCAGGTGGCCACGTGTCTTACACGAGAAGAAATTTATTGTTCTTACAAAATTGGAAGTACTAGAAATAATGATCTTTGTGTGTGTATACAAACATATATATTTCTTTTTCTTTCTTTCTTTCTTTCTTTCTTTCTTTCTTTCTTTCTTTCTTTCTTTCTTTCTTTCTTTCTTTCTTTCTTTCTTTCTTTCTTTTTCTTTCTTTCTTTCTTTTTTTTCTTTTTTCTTTTTTTTTTTTTGAGACAGAGTCTAGCTTTGTTGCCCAGGCTAGAGTAAGTGCCGTGGTGTCAGCCTAGCTCACAGCAACCTCAAACTCCTGGGCTCAGGCAATCCTGCTGCCTCAGCCTCCCAAGTAGCTAGGACTACAGGCATGCGCCACCATGCCCAGCTCATTTTTTCTATATATCTTAGTTGGCCAATTAATTTCTTTCTATTTATAGTAGAGACGGGGTCTCGCTCTTGCTCAGGCTGGTCTCAAACTCCTGACCTTGAGCAGTCCGCCACCCGCCTTGGCCTCCCAGAGTGCTAGGATTACAGGCGTGAGCCACCCCACCTGGCCACATACATATATATTTCAAAGCTTCTTACTAAGCAATTGATTTGTTAGCTAACTTGTAATGATTACAGATAGCAAAATATTTAATATGATTTTTTCAGCTCAAATGCTTCTAAACAATCCATGGCTTTATAAGGTAGTTTCCCTCTAGAAATTTTATTTAATCTAAACTTTCTCTTTGCTTATTCTTAGATTTCATTATTGTAACTATTGAAGATGACAGTGATCACGGTATTAGCGATGATGATGACGATGTGACAGTTGAAGATTCTGACACAGACTTTACTCAGGACATATTTTACACTGATGATATGGCGAACATACAACCAGATTTTGAAGACAGCAGTGATGACTTTCAGGTTCCACCCCAAATGTCATATGGTAATTTTGTTAAATTTCCTCCTGGACAAAATTTTGCTCTCTGGTCTCCATTTCCAGTAAATTGCTTAAATATTCCTATAACCTTTACATTAATTAGTTATTACCAGAGTGCCAAGCTTTTTGTTAATGCTACAGTGTTTACTTATGCTTGCATTTTCCCTTCACTTAAGCTTTGCCACATCTCTTTTTCCCTTTTTGCTCTATGGGGGACAGTCTTAAAAGGCATCGGGGGGGAATATATTTTCTGTCCATGAAAAATTATTTATATCTGGCAACTATAACTATAGGTGGCAAAGCAAAAGTGAAAAGCTAAAACTGAACTTATAGGAAAAGCAGCTTAGGTCAAGAGTCCATGGAGCAGATGACATGATTATTTATGTAGAAAGTCTTAAAAGAATCAACAAAAATCTGGAACTAGTATGTGATTATAGCAAGGTTGCAGCATACAAGGTTAATATATGAAAGTTAATCACTTTACAACATATGAGCAATAAAAAATTGGAATTTGAAATTAAAAACACAATTCTACTTACATTAGTACCCAAGAGATTTCATGGAAAATGGAGTCCTGTGAGTAGAACTGCTGTAGCTACTTGTCCTTCGAATGTTTGTTTCCCCACCACAGCATTGAAAGAAATGTGGGACTATTCATATCCTCACTTGTACGGAGAGCATAGAGACATTAACCACTTGGAAGATTTCTTCTGTAGCTATATGACAATTTGTTACCCTTTGCTTAGACAATTGAGTTTCCTACTCTTTCAAGCATTGAAATGTTACTGCTTAGGTTGTAGGTTAGCAAACCTTTTCTGTAAGGAGCCAGATAGTAAATATTTTAAGCTTTGCAGGCTATAAGGTCTCTCTGTCTTAAGTATTTAACTCTGCCATTGTAGCATGAAAGCAGCTGATATGTAAACAGATGGTTGTGGCTGTCTTTCAGTAAAACTTTATGGATACCAAAATTTGAATTTCCTATAATTTTCCCATTTTATGAAATTATTTTCTCCAATAATTTAGAAATATTAAAAAAAAAAAACCCAACATTCTTAGCTTGTGGGCTATATAAAAACAGGTGGCAGGATGGATTTGGTCCACAGTTGTGGTTTGCTGACCCTGATCTAACTGATGCCAAAAAGTCATTTGATACCACTTATCTTTTCTGGTTTTAAAACTATATGCAGGGCCAGTAGGCTACTTCCTTAGTATGTTACAGAACATCTGTCTGACTCCAATGGCCCACCTTAGTGGGAAAGAACTAGAGGAGAATTTTCAAATGTGGATACCAACCCATTATTTTTTTCTTTCTTTCTTTCTTTCTTTCTTTCTTTCTTTCTTTCTTTCTTTCTTTCTTTCTTTCTTTCTTTCTTTCTTTCTTTCCTTTCTTTCTTTCTTTCTTTCTTTCCTTTCTTTCTTTCTTTCTTTCTTTCTTTCTTTCTTTCTTTCTTTCTTTCTTTCTTTCTTTCTTTCTTTCTTTCTTTCTTCCTTCTTTCCTTTCCTTCCTTTCCTTCCTTTCCTTCCTTTCCTTCCTTTCCTTCCTTTCCTTCCTTTCCTTCCCTTTCTTTCTTTCTTTCTTTCTTTTTTTTGACAGAGTCTAGCTTTGTTGCCCAGGCTAGAGTGAGTGCCGTGGTGTCAGCCTAGCTCACAGCAACCTCAAACTCCTGGGCTCAAGGAATCCTGTTGCCTCAGCCTCCCGAGTAGCTGGGTCTACAGGCTTGCACCCCCATGCCTGGCTAATTTTTTCTATATATATATTAGTTGGCCAATTAATTTCTTTCTATTTATAGTAGAGACGGGGTCTCACTCTTGCTCAGGCTGGTTTTGAACTCCTGACCTCGAGCAATCCGCCCGCCTCAGCCTCCCAGAGTGCTAGGATTACAGGCGTGCGCCACCGCGCCCTGCCACCAACCCATTATTTCTAATTCTAGGAATTTGTCTCATAGAATGACTTGCAGAAGTGCAAGACTGTTTAACACCATTCTTTGCAAAAGCAAAACTTTAGAAGTAGCTTGAATATCCATGAATCAGGGACTGGTTAAATAAATTATGGCTCATCTACATAACATAAAACTAAGGAATTTTTAAATTTACTGCAGTATATGTAAAGGCATTGGTTTGGAAAGACCAATGCATGTTTAGCAATAAAAGGAGGCTGCAGAGCAGTGCTTATAGTCTAATTTCTTTTATCTATCTAACTGGTGGAAAAAACAAGGTAGCCAAGTCATTATTTTTATTGTTAAAATATACATAACATAATATTTATCATTTTAACCATTTGTAAGTGTACAATTCAGTGGAATTAAATATATTCAGAATGTTGTATAATGATCACCATTATCTATACCCAAAACCTTTTCATGATCCCCAACATAAACTTTGTATCCATTAAACAAGAAGTCCCCTCCCCACCTCTGATAACCTTTATTCTACTTTCTTTCTTTGTGAATTTGCCTATTTCAGCTACCTGATGTAAGTGGATTCATACAATATTTGTTCTTTTGTGTCCGGCTTATTTCAATTAGCATATTGTTTTCAGGGTCCATCTGTGTTACAGCATATATCAGAATTTCATTCCTTTTTAAAGACTGAATAATATTTCATTGCATGTATATATGACATTTTGTTGATCAGTTCATCTGTTGATGGATATTGGGGTTGTTTCTACCTCTTGGCTACTGTGAATAATGCTGCTATGAACATTGGTGTACAAATATCTGTTCAAGTTCCTGTTTTCAGTTCTTTTGGACATATACTTAGAAATAGAATTCTGGATCATATGATAATTCCATTTAAGTTTTTTAAAGAACTGCCATACTGTTTTCCACAGCAGCTGCATCATTTTATATTCCATCAATTCACAAGGGTTCCAGTTTCTCCACATGTACATCAACACTTGTTATTTTCCTTTTTTTTTTTTTTTGCTATCCTAGTAGGTGTAAAGTGATATCTTATTATGGTTTTGATTTGCATTTCCCTAATGACTAATGATGTTCAGCATCTTTTCATGTGCTTATTGGCCATTTGCATATCTTCTTTGGAGAAATGTCTATTAAAGTTCTTTGCCCATTTTTGAATTAGATTATTTGTTGTTGCGTTTTAGGAGTTCTTTATATTCTGTATATTAATTCTTTATTGGGTAGATAATTTGCAGATATTTTCTGCCATTCTGTAGATTGTCTTTTTGCTTTTTTCCTTTTGCCCTCTGATGCATAGAAGTTCTTAATGTTGATGAAGTCCAGTTTAACTATTTTTCCTTTTGCTGCCTGTGCTTTTGGTGTCCTATTCATGAAATCATTGCCAAATCCAGTGTCATGAAGGTTTTCCTAGTGTATTCTTCTGAGAGTTTTATAGTTTTAGCCTTTTTATTTATTTAGGTCTTTGATCCATTTTGAGTTAATTTTTATATATGATATAAAGTATATATCATTCTTTTTTTTTCTTTAAACAGAGATGGCGTTTCACTCTTTTGCTCAGGCTGGAGTGCAGTGGTGTGATCATAACTCACTGCAGCCTCAAACTCCTGGGCTCAAGGGAGCCTCCTGCCTCAGCCTCCCAAGTGGCTGGGACTATGGGTGCATGTCACCATGCTTGACTAATTTTTTTTTAAGTTTTTTTGTAGAGACAGGGTCTTGCTATGTTTCCCAGGCTTGTCTTGAACCCCTGGCCTCAAGCAGTCCTCCTGCCTTGGCCTCCCAAAGTGTGTGAGCCCAATTTCATTCTTTTGCATGTGGATGTCTAGTTTTCCAGCATCATTTGTTGTAAAGAATATCCTTTCCCCATTGAATGGTCTTGGCACCCTCATTGAAAATCAATTAAGGGTTTATTTCTGGGTTCTCTATTCCATTGGTTTATATGTCTATTTTTATGCCAGTACCACACTATTTTGATTACTATAGCTTTGAAGTAAGTTTCAAAGTCAAGAAATATGAGTCATCCAACTTTATTATTTTTTTTTAAAGATTGTTTTGGCTATTCAGTGCCTCTTGCAATTCCATATAAAAATTTGAGGATTGGCTTTTCCATTTTCACCAAAAAGGTTGTTGAAATTTTGATAGGGATTGTGTTGAATCTGTGAATTGATTTGGGTAGTATTGACATTTTAACAGTGTTAAGTTTTCCTGTCCATGAATGTGCATTGTCTTTCCATTTATTTAGGTCTTCTTTAATTTCTTTCAGCAATGTTTTCTAGTTTGCAGTATATAATTCTTAAATCTCCTTGGTTAGATTTATTCCAGAGTATTTAATTCTTTTAGATGTTGTTGTAAATGAAATTGCTTTCTTAATTTCCCATTTGGATTTGCTGATATATAGAAACACAACTTATTTTTCTGTGTTGATCTCGTACCCTGCAACTTTGCCGAATTGGTGTATTAGCTCTAGTAGCTTTTTTGTGGATTCTTTGGAATTTCCTATACACAAGATCATATCATCTGTGAATAGAGATAATTTTGCCTCCTCCTTTCCAGGCCTTTTTTCTTGTTCTTGTCTAATAGTTCTGGCTAGAACTTTCAGTACAGTGTTGAATAGCAGTAGTGAAAGTAGGGATCCTTGTTTTGTTCCTGATCTTAGGGGGAAAGCCTTCAGTTTTTCACCATTGAATATGATGTTAGTTGTAGGTTTTTCATAAGTACCCTTTATCAGGTTTCATAATTTTCCCTCTATTCTATTTTTCTGAAAAATTTTATCATGCAATGTTGTTAGATTTTGTTGAATGCCTTTTCTGCATCAATTGAGATGATAATGTAATTTTTTCTTCATTCTGTTAATATGAGGTATTACATTGATTGATTTTCATATGTTGAATCATCCTGGCACTCCTGGGATAAATCCCACTTGGTCATGATGAATGATCTTTTTAATATGCTGTTGGATTAGATTTGCTAATACTTTGATGATTTTTGCCTCTATATTCGTTAAGGATATTGGTCTATAATTTTCTTTTCTTATGATGTCTTTACCTGGATTTGCTATCAGGGTAATATTCTGGCCTCATAGAATGAGTTAGAAGTGTTCCCACCTGTAATTTTTTGAAAGAGTTTGAGAAGGATTGGTGTTAATTCTTCTTTAAATGTTTGGTAGAATCCACCCATGAAGCCATCTATCCTGGGCTTTTCTTTGTTGGAAGGTTTATGATTACTGACTCAACCTCTTGTTACAGGTCTGTTGAGATTTTCTATTTCTTCTTGAGTCGGTTTAGCTAATTAATTTTATTAAATTATAAGAACAATAGTTTTCTCATATACTAGCATTAAACAATTAGAAAACATATAGGAAAAATATCCAATTAATTATGGCTATGAAATATATTTAAAAATTCTAAGGAGTAAACAAGTAAAAATAGCAGAACCTGTCTGAAAGGAATGTGAATACTTTACTGTGGGTCATAAAATAAGGCTTCGGTAAGTGGAGAAACACAGATTATTCTTGGATGTGAAACAACACTCTAGCTTGCAAAAAATCTTTAAAAAATTGTTTAAGGGACAGGTGGTGATTTACCATATTAAACACTAAAAACATTTTAAAGGTACAATTATTAAAATATTATGGTACTAGATGTGAAATAGGGAGCTAGATTTAATGTAATAGAAGCTCATAAGTAGAACAAAGAATTTAGAATTAACATACTATATAGTATATTAATATGGAAAATATTGAGAATAAAGTGTGCTAGGAGAAATGCTTGACTATTGGGGGAAAAGTTCATTAGATTTCATCTCATATCACACACTTAAATAATTTCAAGATGGATTAAATAGTTGACTATTTAATACATGAAAGTATGGAAAAACTAGAAGAAAATATAGCTGAGTGTTCTTTCTAATAGTGAAATATTGAGTGTAAAAGCAGTTGAAGAAATCACAAAAATATTAATGAATTTGATGAAATAAAAACTTCCCATCTCCATGTCAACAACATCAGACTTCAAAATCACACCACCCCCTGAGAAATGTATTTGCTGCAATTATACATTTTCAAGGGTTATTATCCTGAAGATAGCAAAACCTCATGCAAATCAGACAGGAAACATTGAAACCCCAATTGGGTAATGAGCAGGGGCCATGACAAATAATAATTCAGAGAACAAGAAATATTAGTGTATAAACAACATCTGAAAATATTCAGCTACTAAAAATAACGAGAGAAGTGAAAATTAAAATGGGATATAAGCTTTAAACTTTCATTTGTCAAATTAGTAATTTGTAAAAGATAATTCGCTTTAGCAATAATGGAGAAAAACCATTGCACTGCAGTTCTCCTGAAATGTAAATTAGTATAAACTTTTTGGACATTTTGGCAGCACTTCACTTATCTGGAGTCCCCCAAATGTGCATAGTCTTTGATACAATAATTTTTCTAAATCCTCATTATAAGGAACTATTCAAAAATGTGCAGAAATACTTGCATTTTAATGTATACAAATCATTATATCAAAATAGTGCAAATTCAAAGCCATATAAATGACCCACAATAGAAAAGAAATAACATAACCTATGGACATCCATAAAGATGGTGGGTATTTAAAATATTTTTAAAATTATATTTATTATTATTTTTTTGAGACAGAGTCTCACTCTGTCACCCAGGCTGAAGTGCAGTGGTGCAATCATAGCTCAATGCAGCCTTGAATTCCTGGGCTCAAGGGATACTCCTGCCTCAACCTCCCAAGTAGCTGGGACTACAGGTGCATGCAACCACACCCAGCTAATTTTTTTCAATTTTGTAGAGACAGGGTCTCGCCATGCTGCCCAGGCTGGCCTCAAACTCCTGGCCTCAAACAATCCTCCTGTGCTCGCCTCCCAAAGTGTTGAGATTACAGGCACGAGCCACTGTGCCTGGCCATAAAATATTTTAAAAATCATAATTGACATAAAATTGCTCAGAATATGTGTACAGTATGATTCAAACGATATAAAATATATATGGAGTAAGAAAAAGAGAAGGAAATATATCTAAATGTTATGATATTGATTGCTGATTGATTACCTTTTCTATTTATTTAAGGAGCTAAAAATCCTTTAGGTGGACTTTTTCTTTTTTTGGCATCCTGGGTGGGTTCACAATAGGTGAACTTTTTACAGCAGTCTGTTATTAATACATACAAAATACATACAAAAATATGCACACATCTTAAATATATAGCTTTAATAATTTCAAATTAATGCATGCACCCAGACCAAGAAATAGAAGGTTAAGAACTCCCCAGAATCCATCCCTGCTTTTAGTCACTATTCCCTTTGCAAGGTAACCACTATCCTGACTTCTCCCACCTTAGGTTACTTTTGCCTATTTTTGAGTTTTATATCAATTGAATCATATACTATACTCTCTTGTGTTTGGCTTTCTGTTTTGTTTTTTTTTCTGTTTGTTTGTTTGTTTTTTTGAGACAGGGTCTTGCTATGTTGCCCAGGCTGGAGTGCAGTGGCTGTTCACAGGGGCCATCATAACACACTATGGCCTCAAACTCCTGGGCTCAAGGAATCTTCCCATCTTAACCTTAGGAGTAGCTGGGACTACAGGCATGTGCCACTGTGCCTGGCTGGTGTCTGCCTCTTTTAACTTAAGGTTATGATTGTGAGATTTATCCTTGCTGTGTGTAATAGTAGTTATTATTCTCACTGCTGTGTAGTTCATTTATATGAATACACCACAACTTAATCATAGCTTGTGTTAGTTTTATAGTCAGAAAAAAAATCCCAAGGAGTTTAAAAATAAAATTTGGTTGAAGATAGAGCTCAAGTTGGATATATTTTATAACTTAACCTTTTTATATATTAGTCTGCATTAATTCTCCCATCTTTATCCTTATTTGGGCCTGTGGTCATTATATGTCCACCATAGAATGAAAGGGAAACAGGAAAGAGATGAAACCTGAGACCCTTAATTGTGCTTCTCATTACTGCTCTGGCTCAGGGTGGATAAAGTGAATTTACTCTTTCATTAACATACCCCTCCCAGTAACTGTGATGCAGGCGTTCAAAGCAAATCTCTAGTACAAGATATAATCTGATATTGTTGCAGCCAATGTCTTTTTCTAGTTCCACAGGTAAATGACTCAGAGCTGTAATGGAACTTTCCTAATTCTAGATTGTTTGGCTTACATTTCACATCCACTTATTTAGGTTTAATATGAAATTTAGCTAATAAGGCTGGGCACAGTGGCTGACACCTGTAATGCCAGCACATTGGAAGGCTGAGATGGGAGGATGGCTTGAGGCCAGGAGTTTGAGGTTGCAGTGAGCTATGATGATGACACTGCACTCTAGCCTGGGTGACTCTGTCTCTAAAAAAGCCAAACCAAAACAAAACCCCTAACTAATAAGGCAGTTATAACTTTAGAACTGACATGGACATTACAGATAATCTCAACTGGTTTTCACCTGGCAGATGAGGTGGTGGTGTCTCTAGTGGTCTGCCCAGTTCACATAGCAATGGGGCCAGATCTGGAGTAGACTCCCGGATTACATTTTGGAGGCATGCTGCCTCGCTAAGGAAAGAGCCGTTTTAAGCTCCTTTACAAAAACTGTCATCGTATTCTCTTGTTCATTTGTTTCCAGCATTTACTCTGTAGACTTTAAGTTCACTTTACAACTTGGATTGGTTTGATTCTTATTCCTAGTCATGGACAATATAGCCCTTGAATTTAAAAAGACTGATTCTGAATCACTAATGGAAGAATTCTTGTTTTGTCACTCTCTGAAATTCAACCAGAATTCCAATTTAAGGTGGCATTCTGAGAATATGTCCCTATTAAAGGTTAAGGTAGTAAGCGTGTGAAGTAACTTTTTAATATGTTGCTTTACAGGAGATGAAGGTTTAGTAATCCCGGGTGACCAAACAGTTCCAGAAATGAACCACACAGCAAATTTAAAAAGAGACAGCCCCAACTTAGTGGAAGAAGGACTTGTCCCATCGCACAAAAAAGGACGATCATCTACTCCGAGGGAGAATGCTATGGTTTGTATATAAAAGTGAAAATCTTTGTTCTTTTCGTTCTGCTATATTTATTTTTTTTACAAAACTGAGTTTAATTCTATACAGTGAAATGCACAGATCTTAAGTATACAGTTCAATGAGTTTTGATAAATATGTATACTTATATCCCATGAAGGTAATGAACATCTTCATCAACTCAGAAAGTGAGCTCAGGTCTGTTCCAGTAAGTCCCATCTCCCTCAACCTTGGGGGAAATACCTTTCATCCCAGATTAGTTTTGCCTGTTCTAGAACTTCATATAAATAGAGAGAAATTCATATAAATAGAGTTTTACAGTAGGTATTCTTTGTGTCACAGTCTTTTTTCCCTAGAATAATGCTTTGGAGATCCATTTGATAATATCAATATTTCTTTCCCATTTATTGCTGAGTGGTATTCTTTTGTATGAATATCCAAAATTTATTTATCCATTCTTCTTCTGTGGGACATTTGGGTTGTTTCTAGCTTTGGGCTGTTAATCAGGAAGGTGGCTGTAAGCATGCTTATGGAAGTGAACATATGTTTACATATAATTTGGGTAAATACCTGGGAGTGGAAATATTGGGTCATGAGGTAGATGAAAATATATAGGAAACTGCCAAGCAGTGTTCCAAAGTGGCTATGCTGTTTTATATTACCACTATATTCTGCTGTTTTTTTGATCTCTGAAGTTGAATAAAATAGATTATTAAACTATATGTAACTTGGATTAACAGAACATGCACTTATTTACTTATATAAGGATGTGGATATTAATGCCATATGAGTAGTATAGGCAATTCTCAACTTCTATCAGCCCCAATATTTTCATCTTTGGGGATAATGTTAATTGCCTACCAAGTGTCATGGTTTTGGACATAATTATCTGAAAACACTTTGGAAAGCATGAAGCACTATACAAGGTAAGATGGTAATATTGTGTTTATAGTTATTAATGTATAATTTCATATAATTTTGACTGTCTAATAAGTTTGTAATGCAGGGTTAATTCAGGTAATTTCTTATATATTTTGAAACAAACACATTGATAACTACTTGGTATGTTTATATTCAAATTATTCTTATGGGCCATAATTCATCCTTAGAATAAAGAGTTATTATAGTGAAATATAATTGCTATTTACTATCTCTTTACTATTTATACCCTGTCTTATTCTAAAAAATGTTTTAAGATGATTTGGAGATTAATTTATCAAGAAAAATAGGTGCCTAAGTGTTTCCTATCTTGTCCACAGAGTGTCACTGTTGGATTATTTGCAAATCAAAAGTCCTGTAACATTTGGTTCTTGGTTCACGGTTAGAATAATTTGCTTTTAAAGCAGTTCTGGTACTAGAAGACTAGTCCTTCTACTCTGAAGTACATAAGGGGTTAAGCTTGATGGAAAATGGTGTCTTAAGTGGATCTGGGTTAAGGAGAACACAGTTCCACAGGTACATCTTTTCATGTTGTCTTAGGATTTGCAATGGGCAAAGGCTCTTTGAGATAGCAAATAGGCTTTTGGTGCTTCTTGAAAATGAAATAAAAGTCTTGAACTTTTCTTTGAGTTCTTTTTTCCATATTTTCTTTTGGCTTATTAATAAATATTCCTTAGACAAGAACATGAATACCTGATTGTGAAGAAGGTGGTGGTGACTTCAGACTTTGAATAATTACTTAATATTAATTGCTAATTGCCAACTATCTTCACACTTAACCCTCACCAAGAAAATAATTTAGATTCTTTTTCGGCCTTCATAGAGTGTGGAGTTAATCTGAACTCAGGCTCAAGGAAACATTTCTCTCTCTTGAATTTGTATGCTTCCTTTCATTAAACAATGAGCTCTTAATCATTTATTTCCCTCTTTTTCTGGTATAATAGGAAATTAACAGCATTTTGTACCCATTTTTGTTAAATTTTCTAATTTTTGAAATAATTTTAAATTTACAGAAGAGTTGCAAAGTACTGCAGAGAGTTCTTGTGTATATACTTCATGCAGCTTCCCTTAATGTTAACTTACCTGTATACCTGAAAATTATGGTAATTGTAAAACCGCAGTACAGTTATCAAAACCAGAACATTAACATTGGTGCAGTACTGTTGGCTAAACTGTAGTCCTTGTTTGAATTTTGCCATTCCCCTCTACCCCCATGTCCTTTTTCTGTTCCAAGATCCAATCTAGTATCCCACTTTGAATTTAGTTGTGCCTCCTTAGCCTCTTCTAGTCTATGATAGTTCCTCATTCTTTCCTTGACACTTTTGATGACTACTGGTTAGTTATTTTATAAAATGTCTTAATCTTGGTGCATCTCATACTTTCTCTTGAGTACATTGAGAGTATGCAGTTTGGGCAAGAATATCACACAGATGATGTTATTTCCTCATTGACTCATATCAGAGGGTACATTGTGTTGATATATCTTTTTATTGGTGATGTTAGCATCGATCACTTGGTTTATATAGTGTCTTATAGATTTTTCCATTGTAAAGTTATACTATTTTTCCCTTTGTAAGTGATAAATATCTTGAGTGGAAGGATACTTTGAGACTATTTTAATATCCAGTTTTTCCTCAACCCACCAAGTTCAGTTAGCATCATCCATAGATTTTACCTACAGTAATCATTACTGTGGTGTTTGCCTCGTGGTAGTGCTCATTCTTTCTGTATTTATTAATTGGAATTAATTTGTAAGGAAGAGATGTCCCTTATCTTCCACTTATTTATGCAGTTATATATATTTACATCAATATGGACTCATAGATATATGTTACATTATATGAGTTATAATCTAGTATTAATTGTTATTTATTTCATTGGCCAAAGTTTCCAGCGTTGGCTTTTGGGAATTCCTTTTAGTTGGCTCCTGTGGTCTTTTGACCTGTTCCCATCCTTTTTTGAGCACTTCCTTATTTTCTGACATCACAAGATGTTCTAGGTCCATCTGTACTTTCCCTGTCCAAGCCCTGGAATTCAGCTTCTCTTGAAGGAGCCCTGGTTCCTTTTATTGGAGAATGGTCTTTAAAAACCAAGATCTGGACACTAGGTGGGTTCATTGCTGCTCTCGTGTCATTGATCCTAGGCCCTCTCTGCTGACGGAGCCAGGAAATAAATGTATGTATTCTAATCTGTGCATATATATAAATGTATATTTTTATGTCTTTGTGTGTATTAAAAACTATATGTTCATACTGATATTCAGTAGCTATTCTTAAACCTACATTATTATATAATAACTTCTTTCTTTATCTCCTTTATTAATCAACTCTTTTTTATTCTCATATGAATGTGGGTTTTGGTTTTACTTTATCTCTGCTTTATAGTAAAAGATTTCTGAAATCCTTTGGAACATAGGGGAAAAATTAAAACAATTAAAAAAAATAAGTATTTAAAGTGTTATTTTTTATAGTGCTTAATTTGGCTGCTAGTGATATTAGCATTCACTAGTTATTTTGTAATATTAATTGATGAGCAATATAGCTGAAGTTTCCTATGATGAAAAATCATCAAAACCAACTTACAGAATTCTAGCACTATTGTGAGGTATTAGAGTTCTGTCTCTCAAATGTAGTTTTCTGAACTATCAAGCTAAATTTTTCCTTATCCTCATATTTAATGTTATTGTACAATTAATAGAAATTTTGCCATGTCAAGTTCTCTATGATTATCACCCCACTGTGATACGCTTTTTAAAAATTTTTAGTTAGAATAGTTTCCCAAGGTGAAAAATTTGAAATAAAAATGATTTCTGTAGGTTTTTTTTTTTTAGTAGCCATAACTGATCAAATGTATTAAGGTTGGTGCAAAAGTAATTGCAGTTTTAGCATTGTTGAAATTTGCTGTTTGCTGTTGGAATACATTCTTAAATAAATGTGGTTATGTTATACATCATTTTAATGTGCATTTCTCGCTTTATGTTTTTTTGCTAATGACTTATTGCTGTTTATTTTATATTTATGTTAGACTATGGAAATGATGTTAGATAAAAGCAAATTTGAGCGATTTTCTTATTTGAGTTTAAAATGAGTCATAAAGCAGCGGCGACAACTCACAGTATCAGCAATGCATTTGGCCCAGAAACTGCTAATGAGCGTATGGTGCAGTGGTGGTTCAAGAAGTTTTGCAAAGGAGCCAAGAGCCTTGAAGATGAGGAGCACAGTGGCTGGCCATCGGGAGTTGACAACGACCAATTGAGAGCACTCATTGAAGCTGATCCTGTTACAACTATATGAGAAGTTGCTGAAGAACTCAACATCGACCATTCTATGGGTTGTTTGGCATTTGAAGCAAATTGGAAAGGTGAAAAAGCTCGATAAGGGGGTGCCTCATGAACTGACCAAAAATAAAAAGAAAATCGTCGTTTTGAAGTGTCTTCTTCTCTTCTTGTGCACAACGACAATGAACCATTTCTCGATCAGATTGTGACGTGTGACAAAAAGTGGATTTTGTACGATAACTGCCAGTGACCAGCTCATTAAGAAGAAGCTCCAAAGCACTTCCCAAAGCCAAATTTGCACCAAAAAAAGATCATGGTCACTGTTTGGTAGTCTGTTGCCGGTCTGATCTGCTACAGCTGTCTGAATTCTGGTGAAACCATTCCATATGAGAAGTATGATCAGCAAATGGATGAGATGCACTGAAAACTGCAACACTTGCAGCTGGCATTGGTTAACAGAAAGGCCCCAATTCTCCGTGACAATGCCAGACCGCATGTCACACAACCAACGCTTCAAAAGTTGAACAAATTGGGCTACAAAGTTTTGCCTCATCCGCCATATTCACCTGACCTCTTGCCAACCAACTACCATTTCTCCAAGCATCTCGACAACGTTTTGCAGGGAAAACGCTTCCCCAACCAGCAGGATGCAGAAAATGCTTTCCAAGAGTTCGTCGAATCCCAAAGCATGAATTTTTACGCTACAGGAATAAACAAATTTATTTCTTGTTGGCAAAAATATGTTGATTGGAATGGTTCCTATTTTGGTTAATAAAGATGTGTTTGAGCCTAGTTATAATGATTTAAAATTAACGGTCCAAAACTGCAGTTACTTTTGCACCAACCTAATAGTTAAGCCTCTTTCACCTGATTGTTTGATATTTAATTTCTCTAACATAATCTTTTAGGAAATCAACTGGATGAAATGTAGTATGTGACTAAGTGCATATCAAGATATCTCAATTGAAACAAAGTGGCAGCCCATCAATGTTTTGTAAAGAGTGTATCTTGTGTTTCGAGGGGATTTCATAAAAATTAGCATGTTGGTAGCGATGGACAGAGGTATGTGATTACCAGGAATTTTGTGAGCTGCATACCCCAGAGGTAATGAAAGTTTTTTTAAAAAAAATGAATAAATGTTTCTTAACATATAAAGTTTCTTGACTGAAATGAGCTGACACACTTTGAAAAGTGAGTGTTTGTCTGGGTCTTTATCATTAGCAAGGCAGAAGTGAATGTTTCCAAGGGACACCTGCAGCTGGCCAGATGAGGGGAAGGAGGGCCCAGGTGTCCCAGGTGGGCTGGAAAGGGAGGAGCGGGCTCTCCTGCCTGCCTTACCCCTCCCTTGAGGGTCCTCTGTGGGCAGCCTAGGTCTGCTCAGCACGGGTAAGAGCTGGGCTGGGAGGTGCCCAGGGCCAGAGCCACGACCTGAAATGGCCCGAGTGCTCCTTTCCGTTGCCCCCCAGGGATGGCTCTTTCCTTCCTCCACCTCTCCCTTCCCATTCTAGATGCTTTGACCTGCTTCTCTTTCCTCCCATTCCCTCCACTGAGCCCCTTGTCCTTGCTTTGCACCCTCTTCTGTCCACCCCTGCCCTGTTCAGGCTGGGAGCAGAGGAGGATGCCCTTCACTGGCCGTCCCTGCTCAGTCACCCTTCAGCAGCCCCAGGGAGTCACTGCCCACCTCACCCACCCAGGTGCTGCCGCTTCTCTCCTGTAGCAGTCTCCTCCCCTCCACATCCTCGTTCCTGTCCCCATAGCCCACGAGTCAGCCCGACCCCATCCTTCTCACCCCCTTTGCGACTACTGCACTGAAAGGTGTCTCCCACTGTCAGGACTGACACCTGCTCTGGTTTCTGCATCTGGCCCTCCATCAGGCTCCAGCCTGCTCCAGCTCCAGCCCTGTCCTTGTCACACCTTCTCCTTCTCACAGCTTTAAAAAGCCACTTCTCTTGCCTCCCATCCCTCATCTGTTATCACTTCACTCTCTCACCTCTCATGACAGCCCAGTTCCTGCTGTGTCATTAATAGTCACTGTCCACGTAATCTGGTTTCCTCTTTTTCTTTCTGAGTATTTTAGAACATGCTGCTCCTCCTGCCTGTGTGCTCAGCCATGCATCTTCACCTGGTGAACGCTTTCTCATCTTTTCATTCTCAACCTGACATCACCTTCTCTGCAAAGCCTTCCATGACTGCCAGCCTGGGTTAGGTCCTTCTTTTCTGTGCGCACTTAGCCTCCTGTTCTTATCTGTGTCATGGCACTGGTAGTACCAGTAAAAATAATATAATTATACCATTGAGCGCTGTTGGATCAGGCATCACATAATATTGTTGTTGTTAGTATTATATTAACATGATACTCTAGCAAGGTTCCTGTCCTCAAAAGAGCATTAAGAGACATTTTTATCCAATTCCCTACATAAAGAAATTGAAACACAGAGACATTAAGTAACTTGTCCAAGGTCAGACAGCTGATAAGGAGCAGAAGTCTAGTACTTGACTCCAAGAGTGTTCCCCTAGAGCCTGTGCTCTTTACCTCAGAGTTGTAGGCCAGTGGTTCTCATACTTGAGCGAGCTTCAGAATCACCTGGAGAGCTTGTTAAAACACAGGCCACTGTCCCTACTCTCAGAGTTCCAGACTCAGTAGGTCTGAGGTGGAGCCCGAGGTTTTGCAGACCACACTTTGGGAACCAATGATCCAGGCCGTTAATCACTTAGTCTCTGTTGGAATTGTCTCTTTACTTGTCTCTCAGCTGAGATGGAAGTTCCTCTAGGACAGGAGCTTTTTTCTAAGTCCATGTTCGCAGCATAGGGGAAAGTAGTTCTGACAGGTGGTAGGCCGTCAATAATGCTTATTTAAATGAATGAATGGATGAATGAGGAAATGTTTCTGGCCTTTTGTTTAAGTATTTTTGCCTGAAATTTCTGTGTATTTAAAGAAGAATCTTCAGATTTTTATCAGTCATATAACTGATTGGCATATAGGGATATGTACTCAATGTTTTTTTTATAGTTAATAGTTGACTGCATGATTTTAAAATACTTTGAAGGCAAAAATAATATCTGTTATACATGGCTCAATCTTCTTTCCGGAGTGAAATACTCACTGTCTGTATATAGACTTTTATGTACACATATGTATATAACGTACATATATGTTGTATATGAACATGATAATGACTTATCATGTTCATGAGTCATATAGAAAATGAGTCTGTGGCCTTTTAGCAAATTCGAACATTTCTTTCCTACAATGGCTCCTTCCTTGGTGTGAAATGGCTCCATCATCAGTGTGATGGCTTAGAGAAAGTGTGGTGCATTCCTTTTCCAGCATTAAAGCTTCTTCAATGCCTGCATGGAATAGAGTGGTGGAGGGAAAGTTGGGGCTCTTTAGCTCAGCCAGTTGGCTGTATTACCTACAACCAGGCCTCAAGTAGGAACCAAGAGATTTCTGAGGGCTTGAGAAATTTTGTTGTGTCTAGCAGTTAAAATTTGACTTAATGGTATTTTCACATGTTACTTTTCTTTTGATATAGGAATTGCTAATTTTTTTTTATTACAATAGGATTTACCAGAACTTATTGAAAGCACATATAATCAGGTTAACCAGCTTTGTGAAATCGTTTCAAAAATGCAACATTCTAGGAAGAGTCCATTGATGCTAAAATGTGTAAGTGTTATAAAAATATTTTTACAACTTTGTTAAATTAAACCTCTAGTTCCTGAAGATACCAACCAGTTAGAAGTGACTAGAACTAGTAACTGTGAGATTAGCAAGGCTGATTTCAACTTATTTTAATAGAAGATGGGGGGCTAAACTTGGAAGAAGAAGGCTGAAGTTAAGCTTTGATAAATTATGACACTGAGTATTTTTATGTTAGTAAGCATCATGTATAGAATGCAATTAAAATGTAGGGTTGAAGATGAATTAAAAACATAATCAAAATACAGCATTTATCTTTAATATTGTAAAGTGGTGTTTCAACAGAAATAAGTATGAAATGTTTTTACCAACTTTTTAATCCTCGTTTTGAGTTACAGTTGGTTTATATTGGTTGATGTCATTTGAGAGGTCATCTGGATTTACACAAAAGTTTTGTTTATATATCTCATGGAGAAATTGAAGTCCAGGAACCAAAGAAAAGAGTTAAACTCATTCTGTTCTCTTACTCTGGACAGGAAAATTGTCACGCATCATTATCAGTGGAAAGTCAGGAAGCCCATGCCTGGGCCTCTCCTGCAGGATCATCTCTTCAGTCAGCAGCATGCCCTGAATCGCAGCAGCCAGACCCTAGGGAGAGTCCACCACTTCCCAGAATTGTCTCTACACATTCATTACATCCGCATTACACACAAGGCAGTGCATTTCCTGGTCTCTCTGGACTACCATATTTTTTCAACGAAGGTGCTGCAAGTACCAATGGTGTCATCCCATCTGCCCAAGCTACCACGGCAGTACCTATACCAGTTCTGCCACAAGTGCAGCCCAGTCTGCCAAATAATCCTGATATGAAGAATTACTCAGTTTTACCTGAAAATGAGAATATGGGCTCACATGTTACTTCATCATCTTTCTGCATGCCTCCCAATTTTGGTGAGTTTAAAATGACACGTATTACAAATAGCATCCTCCTTTAATCTGTATTTAAAAACATCCTTAATGCAAATTAGTGTTACTTATTTTTTGCATTAAAAGTTTTATATTGAGATCATTGTAAATTCACACATAGTTGTAAGAAGTAATACCCTTTACCCAATTTCCCCCAAATTTTAACATCTTGTAAGGCTATAGTGTATTCATTTGTGTGTCTGTGAATTTAGTTCTTTGAAATTTTATTACATGAGAATGTTTGTATGTTCACCATCATAGTCAAGGTACAGAATGGTTCTATCATCAGAAGGTTCACATATTCCACTTATATTAATATAACCAAGCCCATCCCCTCTGATGGCCCTTCCTTCCCCTACTCACCTGTCCCCAACCCTTGGCAACCATGATCTGTTCTCCATCTCTACAATTTTGTGATTTCAGTATTGTTATATAATTGGATGCATATAGTATGTAATCTTTTGGTATTGGCTTTTCTTACTCAACCTAATTAATTCCCTGGAGATTCAACCAAGTGTGTATCAGTAGTTCTTTCTTGATGCTGACTCAGTACTGAATAGTTCTACCTAATAGTTCTTGTTGCTGAATGGTTTCCATGGTATAAGTATACATGATTCAACCATTCATCTGTTGAAGGAAATTTTAGGGGTTTTTCCCCCCAGCTTTTGACTATTATGAGTAAAGCTGCTATGAAAATTTATGTACTAGTTTTGGTGTAAATATAAGTTTTCATTTCACTGACATGAATACCCAAGAGTGCAATTGCTGGCTGTATGTTAATTGCATGTTTAGTATTTTTAAAAAACATCTTTATTAAGATATAATTTGATATCTTAGTCCATTTGTTCTGCTATAACAAAATACCACAAACTAGGTCATTTATAAAGAATAAGTATTTATTTTCTCAGAGCTCTGGATGCCAGGAAGTCCAAGATCAAGAATCTAGCAGGTTTGTTTGTCTGATGAGGGCTGCATCCTCTGGAGGGGAGGAATGCTGTGTCCTCACATGGGAGAAGGTAGAAGGACAAGCTCAGAAAATGCTGTGTGAATCCTCCTTTATAAGGGCCCTAATCCCATTCACCAGGGAGGAGCCCTCATGGCCTAACTACCTGTGAAAGGCCCAGTCTCTTAATACCATCACATTGGCAACACCTGAATTTCAGAGGGGACACAATCAAACCATAGTAATTGATATGCAAAAAACTTCACATATTTAATGTACACAATTTGAGGAGTTTGGGCATATACATGTTTAGTTTTATGAGAAACTGCCTGTTTGCCAGTGTGGCTGTACCATTTGACATTCCTGCCAGCTACATATGGGTGATCCAGTTTCTCTGTATCCATATTTATGCTTTCTACTGTTTTTTCTTCCTTTCTGATGCTCCGACATTTCTTCTTTCATATTTAATTTTTTGATTGAAGATTTTCCTTTAATCTTCTTTTAAGGGTTAGTCTGCTGGGAACAGATTTTATTAGTTTTCCTTAGTGTGTTAATGTCTTTATTTCCCCTTCTTTCCTGAAGGATAGTTTTGCCTTGTATAGAGTTTGTGGACAAAAGTTATGTTACAGCGCTTGAAAACTTTTTGTTTATAGCAATGCCAGGAAAAGTAGAACCCAGCCTTGAAAACAACACCAAGATAATGAATTACCCAACTTCATTGGGAAATCACAGTGGCCAAGATACAGCCTATTCATCTCACTCCATTCCTCCCAATTTTGGTGAGTTTGGTATGTTACATATTACAAATAGCACCGTTTAATTTAGATTCACCAACATCCTTAATGCAAACTAGTGTGACTCTTTTTAAATTAAACTTTTTAGTTTGAGATCATTTTAGATTCACATATGGTTGTAAGAGATAATGCAAAAAATCTTGTTTATTCTTTAGCCATTTCCCCCAATGATAATGTCTTTCAAACTAAAATACCACAACGAAGATATTGACATTGAGACAATCCACAGATCTTATTGAGATGTTCCCAGGTTTACTTGTGTTAATTTGTGCATGTATGTTTAGTTCTGTGCAGTTTTATCATGCAAGTGGGTTTGATGTCCACCACCATGGTCAAGATACAGAACATTTCCATCACTGCAGGGATGCTTCATCTTGCCCTTTGATAATCACAATCATTTCCCTCATGTCTCTTTTCCCGTCCAGCCTACCCCAACCCTAACACCTGGCAACTATTGATCTCGTCTCCATTTATAATTTTGTCACTTCAAGAATATTAAGGGAGTGTTATGATATATAATGTTCGGGAATTGGCATTTTTCACTCAGCATAATTCTCTCAAAACCTGTCCCAGTTGTTGTATGTATCAACAGTTTTCTCTTTTTTACTTTTGAATTGTATTTCATGGTATGGCTGTGCCACAGTTTGTTTAGCCAGTCAACCATTGAAAGGATATCTTGGTTTTTCCAGTTTGGGGATATTAGTGAAGCTTTTATGAACATTCATGGACAAGTTTTTATATAAATATTAATATAAATTTTCATTTCTGTGTCATGAATGCAAAGAGTACAATTTCTGGGTCTTCTGGTAATAGCATGTTTAGTTTTATAAGAAACTGCCAAACAGTTTTCCTGGGAATCTTTACCATTTTCCATTTCCACCAATAATGTATAAGTGATCCAGTTTCCCTGTATCCATATTTCTGTTCTTTCTATTATTCTTTCTTCCTTCCTGATGCTACAGATGTCCTTCATTCTTTCATCAATTCCTTTTTTTTTTGAATAATTTTATTTTGAATTTCCTTAGGGTTTTTTAGTTTTCCTTCATGTGAAAATCTCCTAATCTCCCCTGCTTTCTTCAAGAACAGTTTTGCTGGCTATAGAATTTACAGTTAAGAGGTTATTTTCCATCAATATTCTTAATGCAAATCAGTGGTAGCTCTTTTTTTTAAATTAAGCTTTTTAGTTTGAGATTTTAGATTCACATGTAGTTCTAAGAAATTATACAGAGATCAAATTTGTTCTTTACCCATTTTCCCCAATGATAACATCTTGCAGAATTGTAGTAAAATGTCACAGCCAGGATATTGACATTGATTAAACTCACATTTATGTGTGTGTATATTTAGTTATATGCAATTCTATCACATGAGTTGGTTTATGTGTCCACCACTAGTCACTGTGCAAAACATTTTCATCACCACCACAAGGATCCCTCATAGTACCATATTGTAACCACAACCACCTCCCTCCAGTTTCCCTTCCCCCCCATCCTGCCCTATCTTACTTGGTTTTACTTGTAGTAATTTGTGTGTGTTTATATTTATTTCTATGTAAATTTCTTCTAAGAGTAGGTTTGATTCCTACCACTACAGGTAAGACACAGAACATTTCTGTAACTGCCAGGCTGCCTAATCTTGCCCTTTTATAGCTACCTACACCTCTCTCAGGTCACCCTTTTCTTCCCTGGTGCCTGTTCTCTAACCCCTGCCAAACACGGGCCTTTATACTTTTGTCACTTTAAGAATGCTTATGTAAAAGGAATCTTACAGTATGTAGATTTTTTTTAGTCAGTATAATTCTCTGGGGACTCTCAGAGTATCTTAACCACTGACAATCAGTGATATGACTTCCCTTGCTATAATTTTGTTTAAATGGAATCAAATACTGTGTAACCTTTGGATAAGGCTTTTTTTCACTAAGCATAATTGTCTTGAGATTCACACCAATTGACTCATGTACCAATAGTTCTTCCGTTTTTATTGTTGAGTACTCTCCGTGGCATAGATGCACAACTATTTGTTTATCTCTCCACCCATTGAATGATATCTGGGAGGTTTCCAATATTTGGCTATTACAAGTAAAGCTCTATGAACATTCATGTACTGGTTTTTGTGTAAAAACATAAATTTACATGCAGTTCTGGGTCATGGTAATCCATATTTAGTTTTATAAGAAACTGCTAGAGTTTTTTTTTCGAAGGGGCTGTACCATTTTACTTCCCCACCAGTAATATATGAATGATCCAGTTTCTCTGCATGCATATTTCTGCTCTTTCCATTCTTTCTTTCTTCCTAATGCTCAAAGATTCATTCTTTTATCATATCCTTTCTTCTTTTATTTTTAATTTTATTTTTCTTTAATATTAATAGCATATGATCCTATAACATCATAATATCCTTTCTATATGAAGATTTTCCTTTGGTCTTTCTTTAAGGATAAGTCTATGAGGGATAAATAATTTTAGTTTCCTTCCATATGAGAATGTCTTTATTTCCTATATATTACTTACAGATAGTTTTGCTATGTATAAATTCATGGTCGAGAGTTCTTTTCTTAAGCACTTGAAAAATGTTCTTTCCACAGATATGCCAAAACTAGCAGAAGCCAGCCTGGAAAACAACCCTGAGACAATGAATTATCAAAATTTGTTGGGAAATGATAGTGGCCACTATTCTTCCTCTTCATCTGTCTACCCTCCTACTAAATTTGGTGAGTTTCAGATGCTCCATTACAGATAGCACTGTTGAATCTGGATCTATCAACATTCTTAATGCAAGCTAGTTATAGCTCATTTTGTAAATTGAACTTTTAACTTGGAAATAATTTTAAATTCACATGTATTTGTAAGCAGTAATATAAATGATCCTCTTTACGTTTTACTCTTTTCTCCCAAAAATAACATCTTGTAAAACTATAGTAAAATAACACAAGCAGGGTATCGACATTGATACAATACACAAATGTTACTGAGCTGTCCTTGGTTTTACTTGTAGTAATTTGTGTGTGTTTATATTTATTTCTATGTAAATTTCTTCTAAGAGTAGGTTTGATTCCTACCACTACAGGTAAGACACAGAACATTTCTGTAACTGCCAGGCTGCCTAATCTTGCCCTTTTATAGCTACCTACACCTCTCTCAGGTCACCCTTTTCTTCCCTGGTGCCTGTTCTCTAACCCCTGCCAAACACGGGCCTTTATACTTTTGTCACTTTAAGAATGCTTATGTAAAAGGAATCTTACAGTATGTAGATTTTTTTTAGTCAGTATAATTCTCTGGGGACTCTCATACAGGTTGTATGTATCAGTAGTTCCTCCCTTTTTATTGCTGAGTAATTTTCCATGGTTTGGATATATAATAATTGTTTTAAACCATTTACCCCTTGAATGACATTATTTTTCCCCACTTTTTGGTATTAGGAGTAAGCTGCTATGAATATTCATATAGTGGTTTTTGTGTAAATATAAGTTTTCATTTCTCTTTCATGAATTCCAAGAGTGCAATTGCTAGGTCTTATGGTAATAGCATATTTAGTTTTATAAGAAACTGTCAAACAGTTTTCCAGAGAGGCCGTACTATTGTACTTTCCTAAGAGCAATGTATGGGTTATGCAGTTTCTTCACATCCATATTTCTGATCTTTCCAGTGTTCCTTCTTCCTTCCTGATGCTCCAAGATTCCTTCTTTCATCATACTCTTTCTGTTTGAAGACCTTCCTTTACCCTTTTATAGAAGTAACTCTGCAAGGGACAGATTCTTATAGTTTTGTTTGTTTGTTTGAGAAAAGTCTTTATTTTACCTTTTTGTCCAGAAGGATACTTTTGCCTCATATAGAATTCACAGTTCAACATTCTTTTCTTTCAGAAGTTGAAAAGTTTATACTTATAGAAATTCCAGCACAAGCAGAAGGCAACTCTCAGACAATGTATTATCCAGCTTTACTGGGAAATATCCATGCCCCAGGTACTGCGACTTCATCTCTTCCCGGCACTTCTAATTTTGGTGAGTTTGAAATGATACATATTATAAGCAACACTGTTTAATCTAGATTCATCAACATTCTTGATATTAATTCTTAGTGATAGCTTTTTAAAATTAAACTTTTCATATTGAGATATTTCAGAATCACACACAGGTGTAAGAAATAATACAGAGAGATTCTGTGTACCCTTAATTTCCCCCAATAGTAATATTCTGCAAAAATACAGCAAAATATAACAACCAGGATATTCAAATTGATACAACCCACAGATCTTATTGAGATGACCTCAGTTTTACTTGTATGCATTTGTGTATGTGCATGTGTATATTTAGTACTATGCAATTTTATTCCACAAGTAGGTTTGTGTGTCCACCACCACAGTCAAGGTAGAGATCATTTCCATCAGTGTGAGGAGCCCTCTCGTAATACCCTTTGACAACCACATCAAACTCTCAGATCATCCTTTCCTGCACCCTTGACCTATCCCTAACACCTGGCTACCATTGATCTCTTCTCCATCTCTATAATTTTGTCTCTTCAGATTGTTACATCAGTGGAATTATTATTCCACTGATTGGGATTGGCTTTTTTCTTCACTCAGCTTAATTTCCTGGAGACTCATCCAGGTTGTTTCATGTATTAACAATGTATTCCTATTCCATGGTATGGATATACTACATTTTGTTTATTCACCTGCTGAGGGATATCTGGGGTTTTGTTTTTAGTTTTTTGCTCTTGGGAGTAAAGCTGCTATGAATATTCATGTATACATTTTTGTATAAATGTAAGTTTTCATTTCTCAATAGTTCCTTCATTCTTATTCTTTCCATGGTATAGATAGGAACAGTTTTTTTAAGCCATTCACCCATTGAAGGACATCTAGTTTTTTTCTTTCTAGTTTTTGGATATTATAGGTAAAGCTTCTGTGAATATTCATGTACTGGTTTTTGTGTAAAATGAGTTTTCATTTCTTTGTTATGAATGCCAAGAGTGCAATACCTGGGTTTTAAGGTAATAGCACGTTTTGTTTTATAAGAAACTGCCAAACAGTTTCTCAGAAAAGCTGTACTATTATATATTTCCAAGAGCAGTGATTCAGTGATTGAGTTTCTTCACATCTATATTTCTTATGTTTCCATCATCCTTTCTTCCTTCCTGATGCTCCAAGATTCCTTCTTTTGTAATATGTTTTCTGTTCAAAGATTTTCCTTTAGCTGTTTTTTTTTTAAGGATAAGTCTGCTAGGGACAAATTCCTTTAATTTTCCTTTTTGTGAGGATGTCTTTATTTCCCTTCTTTCCTGAAGGATAATTTCACCCAGTATAAAATTCATGGTTGAGAGTTCTTGTCTTTCAGTACTTGAAAAAGTTATAATCATAGAAACGCCAGGAAAAGCAGCAGAAACCAGCCAAGAAACGCCAGGAAATGCAGCAGAAACCAGCCAAGAAATGCCGGAAAAAATAGCAGAAACCAGCCAGGGAAACAACTCTCAGACAACTGTATTTGGAAATGACAGTGGCCAAGATGCTGCCTCTTCATCTGCCTCCATTCCTCCCAATTTTGGTGAGTTTGAAATGGTACATGTTACTAGTAGGAACTGTTTAATCTAGATCTATCAACATCCTTAATGTAAAGTTAGCAGTAGCTTCTAAAAATAGACTTTTAATTTTGTGGTAATTTAAGATACAAATGTAGTTGTAAGAAATAATACAAAGAAATACTCTTTGCCTTTTACTCATTTCTCCCAACAATGTCTTGCCAAACTATAGTAGAATATCACAACCAGGACGTTGACCTTGATACATCCATAGATCTTATTAGGATTTTTCAGTTTAATTGTATTGATTTGTGTGTGTGCATTTAGTTCTGTTCAGTTTTGTCATATGAGTAGGTTTGATTCCCACCACCATGGTCGAAATGCACAGGTTTCCATCACCACAAGGATGCCTCATCTTGTTCTTTTGTAACTATACCTTCCTCAGCTTAATTTCCTGGTGATTCATCTAACTTGCTGTGTGATATCAGTAGTCCTTATTTTTTATCACTGAGTACTCTACCATGGTGTAGATGTACCACATTTTGTTTATTCATTCACCCATTGAAGGATATCTGGGTTGTTTCCAGTTTTTTACTATTACAAGTAAAATTGCTGTGGCCATTCATGTACAGATATTTGTGTAAACATAAGCTTCGATTTGTCTTGGATAAATGTCCAACAGTGCAAATGCTTGGTTGTATAGTAATTGCATGTTTAGTTTTATAAGAAACTTCTAAGTGGTTCCAGAGAGGCTGTACCATTTTACATTCCCAGGAACTGCATACGAATGATCCAGTTTCTCCACATCCATATTTCTGCTGCTTTCATTATTTTCTTTCTTTTTGATGCTCCAAGATTTGCTCTTTCATCATTCTTCTGTTTGAAGATTTTCTTTAGCCATTATTTAAGTGTACAGCAGCTAGTGACAAATACTTTTAGTGTTGCCTCATGTGAGAATGCCTTTATTTCACCTTCATTCTTGAAGCATACTTTTGCCTGATGCAGAATTCATGGTTGAGATTTCTTGTCTTTCAATATTTGAAAATATTTTATTTATATTAATATAAATGTTGGTCAAAGCACAAGCCAGCCTAGGAAGAAGCCCTGAGACAAATTACCCAACTTTATTAGAAAATGACAGTAGCCAAAATATTTGTCATCTCACTGCATCCCTCACAATTTTGGTGAGTTTGAAATGATACTTATTACATGTAGAACTATTTAATCTAGATTCATTAACATCCATAGTGTAAGAAAATGGTACATTTTTCTAATTAAAGTTTTTATTTTTGGAAAAACTTAGCTGCATAATGCAGAGAGATCCTGTGTTTTCATTACCCACTTTTCCCTAATGGTAATATCTTGTAAAAAACTATAGAAAATTATTACAACTAGGTTATTGACATGATACCTTTCACAGATATTAGTAAGGTATGCCCAGTTTTACTTGTATTTATTTGGGTGCATGTGTATGTATGTGTTTTAGTTATGTTTTTATCATATGTGTACGTTCATGTATCCTGTACCGCGGGCAAGCCCTGAAACGGTCCCATCATTGTCATGGACTTTCATACTGCCCTTTTATAACCAAACCCGCCTCTCTCCAGTCAATACTTTTGCTCACTCCCACCCCTGCCCTGTCTCTAACTGCTGGCAACCACTAATCCTGTTCTCCAGAGTTATAATTTGTCACTGCAGCATTATATACATGGAATCAATGTGGTATGTAACCTTTCGGGGTTGGCTTTTTTCCTTCTGTATCATTCCCTGAAGACCCATCCACATTATTGTATGTATCAGTCATTCCTTCCTTTATATTGCTAAGGAATATTCCATGGTACGGGTATACCAGGCTTTGTTTATCACTTTGCCCATTGAAGACCTCTGAGTTTCCTATGCTTATTAGATGTAAAGCTGCTGTGAACACTTGTTCAAAGTTTTCATTTTGCTTCATTGTATTCATTCACACTGGTTTTCATTTCTCTGAAATGAATGCTCAAGAACGCAATCACTGGGTCCTTTGGTAATCACATCTTTAGTTTTACAAGAAATGGACAAACTGTTTTCCAGTGGGGCTGTACTATTTTCCATTCACACCAGCAATGCACGTGTGATCCAGTTTTTCCGCAGCCATATTGCTGCTTTTCCTTCCTTAGTGATGCTCCATTCCTTCTGTCCTTTCTGACTGAAGGTTTTTCTTTAGCCATTTTTTAAGTGTAAGTCTGCTGATGACAAGTACTTTTGGCTTTCCTTTGTCCGTGAATGTCTTAATTTTGCTTCAGTCCTGAATGATAGTTTCACTGGATATAGAATACATGGTTGGGAGTGTTTCTTACAGTATTTGAAAAGTGTGTTGTTATAGAAATGTTGGTTAATGTAGAAAACAGCCTAGGAAACAGCCTCAGATGATGAACTCCCCACCTTTATTGGAAAAGGATAGTGGTCAACATAGTTCAGTTTTAGCAAGTTTGAAATGATAACATATTATAAGTAGCACTATTAAATTTGGATTCATTAACTCCATTAATGTGAGCTAGCAGTAGCTTTTCTTAATTAAAAATCAATGAAAAATTAAAAGTTATTTTGAGAAAAGTTTAGCTGCACATACAGTTGTAAAAAATAATGCAGAGAGATCCCATGCACACTTTCCCCACTTTCCCCAGTGATAACACCTTACAGAACTGTAGTATGGTATCAGAAGCAGTTTTACTTGTGCTTGTGTGCGTGTGTATGTGTGTTCTATTTGATATAATTTAATGACACGAGTAGGTTTACAAATCTTCCATCACAGACGAGATACAGAATATTTTCATCACTACAATGGTCCACGACCTATTGCCTCTTAGAGACATACCCACCTTTCCCTTCTCTGCCCCAACCCTGCCTTGTCCCTCCCTTGGGCAGCCACTGATCTGCTCTCCTTCTTTAGAATTTTGTCATTTTGAGAATTTTATATAAATGGTCTCAAATAGTCTGCAACCTTTTGAGACTGGTTTTTTCTACTCAGCATAATTCCCTGGAGACTCATCAAAGTTGCTGTATGTGTCAGTAGTTATTTTTTTATTGTTGAGGACAATTCTATGGTGTAGATGTACCATGGTCTGTTTATCTTTTCACCTACTGAAGGGCATCTGAGTTGTTTCTTGGTTTTGGCTATTAGAAGTGAAAGCTGCTACACTCATGTACTGTATAGGTTTTGTGCAAACATAAGTTTTCATTTCTCTGAGATACTCCACTAGAGTGCAGTTGCTGGGTCCTATGGCAATTGTATGTTTAGTTTTATAAAATACTGCTAAGCTGTTTTCCAGAGTGGCTGTACCATTTTGCAGTAAGGGGTAGGGGAGCTTCAGCCTTCTGATTTCAATATTGTTCTTTTTTAAGCACCAAAGGAGACAAGAAAAGCTTCATCTTTCTCTGCTGCACCCCTTTTAATCCTTTTATTAAAAGGATTTGTTCTGTAAAATTTGGATTCAGTAAAAAGGCTGTACTTAAGGACCTAGAAAGACACAGGTTCCCCACCCCTTCATTTAATGATGTTCCTTTAGCCATTCTTTGAGGGTAAGTCAGGCAGTCACAATTTTTTAAACAATTTTTCCTTTGTCTGAGAATGTCTGTTTTCCCCCATCATTCCTGAAGGATAGTTTTGCCTGATATAAAAACCATGGTTGAGATTTCTTGTCTGCCAACACTGGAAAATGTTTTATATATTGAAATGTTGTTCAAAACAGAATCCAGCCCAGAAAAGCATTCTGAGACAATGAATTACCCAAGTTCAGTAGAAAATGGCAATGGCCAAGATAATGATTCAGCATCTGTCTTCCTCACTCCCAGTTTTGATGAGTTTGAAATGATACACAGTATTAATGCAAGTAGCACTTATTTTAACCTAGATTCACCAGCATTCTTAATATTAATTATTAGTGATAGCTTTTTAAAATTAAACTTCTCGTTTTGAGATATTTCAGAATCTCATGCAGGTATAAGAAATAACACATAGAGATCTTGTGTATCCTTTGCCCAGTGTCCCTCAATAGTAATATTTTTGAAAAAATACACTAAAAATATCACAACTAGGATTTTGACATTGATACCATCACCAGATCTCTTCAGATGTCCTCAGCTTTCCTTGTGTTCATTTGTGTGTGAGAGTGTGTTTAGTTCTCTGTGGTGTTATGACTTGTTTAGGTTCAGGTGCTTACCACTCTAGTCATGGTGCAGAGCTGTCCCATTACATCTCGGAACCCTCTTATTGCCTTTTTATAACCACACTTACTCCATGTCCTTCCCTCCATGGCCTCATCCTTAACCCATCCAACTACCAGTGTGTTCTCCATCTTCATAATTTTGCTATTGAAAGAATGTTATATAAATGGACTCATATAGCATTTAACCTTTTGGGGTTGCCTTTGTTTCACGCAGCATAAATTCCTTGGAGTGTCATGCAAGTTTTTGCATGTATCAGTAGCTCCTTCCTTTTTATTGCTGAGTACTGTTTCATAGTATGGATGTACCATGGTTTGTTTATTTGTTCACCTGTTGAAAGACATCTGGATTGTGTCCAATTTTTGGCTATTATAAATAAAGCTGCTATGAGCACTAGTGTACAGGTGTTTGTGTGAACATGCTTTTTTCATTTCTCTGTGATAAATACCTAAGAGTACAATTAATTGCAGGGTGGTATAGTAATTGCATGTTTAGTTTTATAAGAAACTGTCAAATTATTTCCAGAGTGGCTATACCACTTTACATTCCCATCAGCAATGTAGGAGTGATTCAGTTCCTCTGCATCCTTACCAGTATTTGTTTTCACTGTTTTTTGATTTTAGTGATTCAGATAGTCATTCTGATAGGTATATGGTAATACTTCATTGTGGGTTTCATGTGCATTTGCCTTTGGTTATGATGTACATCTTTTCATGTTCTCATTTTCCATCTGTATATCCTTTTCTATGAAATATCTGTTCTTATGATAATGTTTGTTTTTTTTACTGCTATGTTTTAAGAAATTACTTAGATATTGTAGGTACTAGTCTTTTGTTGAATATGCAGTTTGCAAATATTTTCTTGTTTGCAGCTTTCTTTTTCATCTTCTCTACAGGCTTTTTGTTTTGTTTTGTTTGCAGAGAGAAAGTTTTTAATTTTCTTGAGCTCCAATTTATCAACTTTTCCTCTCATGGACTGTGCTTTTGGTGTCAAATCTATGAACTCTGCCTAGTTTTCGATCCTAAATTTTTTCTCATCTTTTTTTCAAGTTTTATATTTTTATAACTAATATCTAAGTTGTGATCCATTTTGAGTTTTCAGTTTTATATAAGGTATGAGGTTCAAGCTGTGGTTATTATTATTATTATTTTGCCTATGGGTATATAATTGCTGCAGTACCATTTTTTGAGTGGCTATCTTTCCTCCATTGAATTGCTTTTGCACCTTAATAAAAAATCAGTTAGGCAACCAGGTGCAATGGCTCACACCTGTAATACAGTGCTCTAGGAGGCTGAGGAGGGAGGATTGCTTGAGGCCAAGGGTTTAAGACCAGCCTGAATAATATAGTGAGACCCCATCTTTACAAAAAGTTAAAAAAATTAGCCACGTGTGTTGGTATGTGCTTGTAGTCCTAGCTACCCAATGGCTGAGGTGAGGGAATTGCTTGAGCCCAGGAGTTGGAGGTTACAGTGAGTTATCATGGCACTGCACTCCAGCCTGCATGATAGAGCATGACCCTGTCTCTAAAAAAAAAAATTATAAAAATTCAATTAGGAATATTTATGTGAGTCTATTTGTGAGTTTCTTGTTGTATTCCACTGATCTGTGTTTCTATTCCCTGCCAAATCACATGGTCATGACTACTGTTGTTATACAGTAAGCCTTAATATCAGGTAGAGTGATCCCCTTCTACTTTATTCTTCTTTTTCAAAATTATTTTAGCTATTTTGGGTCCTGTGTCTTTCCTTATTAATCCTAGAATAGCCTTGTTTATGTTTTCAAAAAGCTTTCTGGGATTTTGATAGGAATTGCAGTAAATCTACAGATCAATTTGGGGAGAATTGACATCTGTGGTATGTTGAGTCATCTTATCCATGAGCATTCTATATTTGTTCATTTATTAAGGTCTTCTCTAATTTCTTTTATCAGCATTTTGTAACTTTTATACTACAGGTACTGTACATGTTTTAAAAATTTTACCTAAGTATTTAATTTTCCTTAGAGAGATTGTAAATGGTATTTTTAAAATTTTGTTTTAAACATTGTTAATATATAAAAAGGAGCTTCGATTTTAAGTATCGATCTTGTATTCTGTGACCTCACTGAACTCACTTGCTGGTTTTAGGAGTTTTCCTGGTCTTTTGGGGGTTTTTTTGGTCAATTCCCTGAGATTTTCTGTATAGCCAATTATTAGGCCATTTGCAAATAAGGAACCATTTTATTTCTTTCTGTACAATCTGTATGCCTTTTTTTCCTTTGTCTTGCCTTATTGCACTGGCTGTAACTTCTGGTGTCATTTAATAAGAGTGGTGAGAGTGGATATCCTTGCCTTGTTTCTGATCTTAGGGGGAACTCATCAGTGTTTTGCCATTTAGTATGATGTTAACTGTAGGTTTTTAGTAGATATTCTTCATTAAGATGAGGTAGTTTCCCTCTATTCCTAACTCACAGAGTTTTTGGTTTTTTTTATCATTAATGAGTCTTGGATTCAATGTCCACATGATTTCTCTTGTTTAGCCTGCTGATATATTGGCTTGTGTTGATTGATTTTGCAGTGTTGAACCAGCCTTGCATAACTGGAATAAATCCTAATTGGTCAGGGTATCCCTCCTAATTATGGTGAGTTTGACATGACACACATTACAAGTGGCACTGTTTGACCTATATTCATCAACATCCTTGATACAAGCTAGTGGAAACTGTTCGTTTTCTACTATTTTGAGGCCTGGTTTTAGGTGATATTCAGAATGGTGACTAACATTTGTTGAGTGCTTATCATATGCAAGCCACTGTGCCAATCAGCTGATGTGCCTCTTCTCTACTTACATTTAAAATGACCCCATGATGTTGGCACTTTTATATCCCCCATCCCTGAGGTCACAGAGCTGGTGAGTGGTACTCACCAGTTCTCTCTGACTTTAAAGCTTGTGTTTCTCACTGGTTTGCTGTACTGCCGGCCAAGCCATAGTGGGAGAGAAGAAAGGACCCCAAGCTCTGTGGCCTCCAAGGGCAAGCCTTCCAAATATTTTATAGTTCTTTTGTGTTTGTGACTCAACTTCTGAGCAGCTTATCTCTTATTACTATCCTAGAGCAGAGATCTGGAAACCTTTTCTGTAAAGGGCTAGTTAGTATTGTTTGTCACAACTACTTACCTCTGCTGTTGTAACACAAAAGCATCCCATAGGTAAATGAATGGGCATGGCCGTGTACCAGTGCACCCATGTGCCAATGCAGCTTCATTCACACAGACAAGTGGAGGGGTGGGCTGGTGGACCTGTAGTTTGCTGACTCCTGTCCTAGAAGAGAGCCTTTTTCTTTAAATTATGTTGTTACCTGAACCAGAAGAAACTTCAAACATTGCTCTGTTTGTACCAAAATGGGCATTCTGATACACTGTTGTTAGAAGCATACATTGTTGCAAGCTTTCTAAAGGGTAATTTGTATAAAAATCCATAAAAATATTTGTGCCGGTTGATTCAGTAATTTCACTTCTATCTGAAAGTATAGTAAAAAATTTACATAAAACTTTTAGTACAAGAATATCCTTTACAGAATTGTGAAAAATTGGAAAAGGAAACAGACAATAGGGAATTAGTCATGTGACTTAGGTATATCCACAGCATACGAGGCAGTAAAGTCTTAATGGTTGAGAACACAGGCACTTGAGTCCACTGTCTGGGTTCAAATCCCAACTCTGTATCTTACTAACCTTGTGACCTTTAGCCACTTTGCTAACCTAAATATTGGTTTCTTCAATGACAAAAATAATAGTATCTACTTCATGGAATTGTGAGGATCAAATGGGACAATGCATTAAAGCCCTGGACACAATGCATAGGACATCAATACAAGATAAATATCTCCTGTCAGGAAAATCATGATGACAGGGATGCAGACTGAAAAAAAAGAAGAGGAAGAAGAAAGCAGAGAAATGCTCAAAATATAATGTTAACTGAAAAATCAAGATTCAAACTATACGTAAAGTATGATTTCAATTTTGTATTTCAAAAAGGAAATAGGAGAAAGAATGGAAGACAGTAGCAAAATATTAATGGTTCAGAGTACTTGGCTTATAAATAGACAGACTTAGATTTGAAAATGGGTTCCGCAACTAGCTGTGTGACCTTGTTCAAATAACTTAGCTTCCCTGGGCCTCAGTTTCCTCCTCTGGTAAGTGGGAATAATGGTGAAATTGCTAGAATGATGAATCTGAGCTTATAGATGTAAAATATTTAGCATAGTGCTTGATAATATAGTAGCTACTAATAAATGCTAGCTATTTGAAAGTTTTCGTAATTATCCCCACCCATACTTTCCAAATTGTCTTCAGGGAACATATACTCACTCAGTAATATGGCTCTCAGTGTACTTTTATTTATTTATTTTAGAGACAAGGTCTTGCTCTGTCACCCAGGCTGGAGTGCAGTGGCACCATCATAGCTCACTGCAGCATTGGACTCCTGGGCTCAAGTGATCCTCCTGCCTCAGCCTCCTGAGTAGCTAGGACTAAAAGTGCACACTACCACACCTGGCTGATGTTTTAAATTTTGTAGAGACAGGGTCTTGCTATGTTGCCCAGGCTGGGGAGTGTACTTTTAGAGTATAAAAGGGAGCAATGAGAACTAAGAGAAACGTGTTTACATATGTACCTACAGCTTAACAATTAAATTTATTCAAGCCAATGAACAGATTAGTTTAGATACAGCAAGTTCAAGATTAGCAAAGATGAAGAATGTTGACAGGCAGATGGCATCAGCGAGACCCATTTAAGGAAAAGAAGGGATAAGCATAGAAATAAATTCACCCAAATAGAAATTTTTGAGTTAGAAATCAGTGTTTAATTCTCTTGGGCATGGTTAGGATATCCTTGCAAGATAAAAGCAAGGATTTTCCTTTCTTCCTGTATTTTTAAAGGATATCTTGGTGATCCAAAAAGAAATGTCAAGATGCTTACAATTCATTTGGTGACTGCACAAAAGAAGATCAAACCTAAGAATGCAGCCCGCTTCTTGGTTCGTAATTTGTTCACCAAGGACATCCTGATTTGCAGCTCTGTGAGTGCCAATTCACAAGGCCGCCAACGCCTAGATCCAAACAAAATGGCTGCACTAAGAGGTATGCATATGTAAAGTTGTAATGGAATCTTGTTTGTATCATCATTTGGTCATATAATGAATGTTATTGGCAGTCGAAGAAATAACAATGAAGCCTGTGTAAATCCAAGAACTGTTCATCTTTTAATTTTTTGATAAGAACAAAACTTACCCATTGACTAGTTCAATAAGACAAGCCTTATTGATTATAGTTGCTTATGGTTAGTACTAAGTCAATTCTTTAGCACTGGAACTTGCTACTAAAAAAATACTGAAAAAGCCTTCCCCCACCCCCAAAAAGGTGGGGGAATACAACAGACTTTTCAGTGCTCGTGAACGGCAACACAGAAATAAGAGTTCATGATTGGTCCACTACAGCCTCCTGCCTTCTTGCTTCTAGAAATGTGTATTGAGGTCCATCCTAGAACTCATGGGTACTGAGGATACCACAATGAATAAGTATTTCTGCATGCAAGGAGCTCACAGTCTGAAAAGTGACACGGTGATGGAAACATAAATTCCAGTCTAATGGTATAATGTGGGGGAGGCTCAGAGCAGAGCAGCTTTGAGGGCGTTCAGGAAGGCTTGGCTAGGGACAAGACATTTGAGCTAAATTCTGAAGGACTCCTTACTCAGCTAAGGGGAATAGGAAGGTGTTCTAGGCCGAGGGGACAGCTTCTGGGGGAGATAGACATGGTAAGTACACAGATGAATAGACGCTGGTGTAGTAATGTTTGCAATAATACTATTTTCTCTTTATGTGTTTCCTTTTCTTTTTAGTTCTGATTTATCCACTGGGTTACCAAATGGTCCGAGCACCCTCAAAGAATTGACTTTTGGTTACACACTTATTTTTTTTTAAGCACCAAGACATCAGTATTGGCTCCCTCTGTCAGTTTTAGGGGATCTCACAGTAGAGGAAGTGAGATAATTCGGCAAAGCATCCTCATTGGGTGGAATTTCTAAACTTTCAGAATGAGTCAGAGAAAAGAATGACAATTATAAAGAGAAAACTCAAGTATTTATTTTAAATAAAAATATCTTGTTTCTTCATTAATTTTGTACTAATTTTTGTGAATACTTTCTGCTGTTTATAGAATATCTGGCAAGAATTTTTCCCAACTATGATTTGAGTGAACATGGAAAAGATTGGAAAGAGTGTATGTCTGATATCAGTTCTCTGATCCGCTATTTATGTTCTGAAAACAAAAGACTACAAGTAAGTTATTTTTCATCTAAATATGGTAACTGCTACATAAGTTCATGCTGTATACACTCCAGAACTGTTAGCATGACACACAGTATCTTCAGGCCATGTGCTAAAATCTCATTTACTTAATTTAGGGGGCAAGAGATGTTCTTTCAAAAGCATACTGCCTGTTTATTTTACTTGTTTTATATTTATGCTATATAAAAATATCCTAAAGATAAATCAAATATAGTGTTATAATTAGCATATTTGAAGCCAAGGACAATACTGGAAAAAAGTTTCAGCTAACAAGATATTTGGCAAACTTTTTTCAGTATCTCACTGGGGAACACAAAAGGCTGTGTGTATTCCCTTGTGGCACAGGAGAAAACACAGGCTCTTCATTACTTGTGTACTCTCAGTGCTGGCGGAACCTGGTGAAAATAATGCATGCCATGAGGTTAAACTAGCACAGATATTTTATAACCTCTATAGTTATGTGGTAACAAGAATCTGGTTTCTCTCTCATCCATTCTATCTTCAAAGTACATTAGAGATTATTTTTTTTAACCAATAAATGGGCCACTTGGGAAGTGTCATACCTGTTGTCTTCTGATGAAGTATTTATCTTAATGACAATTCCGAATTTCCACCAACCTCTCTGAAAACCCCATTCTATTCTCACCATGTCTAGTCACTCCTGTGTCTCTAGAGTAAGTTTATGGAAACTATTTGCCAAGACTATTTGTAGCCGAGCTTATGTTTTCCTGGTGAACGGGTTGATTTCAGTGATAGCTCAAGCACCATCTGTCTGAAACCCAATCTGCTTATTTTTAACATTCCATTTTATAGCCTTCAAAAATTGCACCCTAAACAATTTGAATGTAAAATGAAGATACTGCCTGGAAAATGGTTATTTGCATATTTGCTTAGGCGTCAGAAGAGAAGCAGCATCTGCCACGTGCCTGCTGTATGATTGACTGGGAATGGGACAGGTCCTTGCCACTAAAAGTGGGTCCGCAGCCCGGCAAGCTTGTGAGAACTGCAGTCTTGTGTTGCATGCCTTACTCACTGAGCAGAATTTGTATGTTAGCAAGAACCCCCCTCCAGGTGATTCATGTGCATGTTAAAATTGGAGAAGCCCCAAGCCAGAGCAGTGGTGATCAACCCTGGTTGCATGTTAGAATCACACGAGACACGTTTAGAAATAGTTACTGATGCCCAAGCTTCCCCATTCCACCACCAGAGATTCCAGTTGAATTTGCTGAGGGTGGGGCCCAGCACAGCCATTTTTTTTTAAATTATCACTAGGGTAATTCAAATGTGTAGCCAGATTTGAAAGCCACTAGGAAAAGAGAAAACACATAAACAAAACATTAAAAACAAACAAAAAGTTGTCATCCTCAACAAACTAATTTATTTATTCATGAAATGTTTATTATGCACTGCATTTGTGTCAGCAATTCTCGTTCAGTTCGTTAGACAGAGCTACCAAGTCCCCCAAGAAGCAGCAGGTCATGACAGCCTTTGGTGGCACAAATAAATTTAATAAATGAACCCAGAATATTTCACATAAAGAATTCTAAATATGTTTTCCAACATCTACTAAGTGAAGTATCATAAGAATGAAAAAACAAGCACCACATGTACTCACCATCAAATTGGACTAATTGATCAACACTTATGTACACATATAGTAGTAACATTCATCTGGTGTTGGGCAGATGGGAGGGGAAGGAGGGAATGGATATATACACACCTAATGGGTGCAGTGCACACAGTCTGGGGGGTGGACACGCTTGAAGCTCTGACTCCAGCAGGGCAAAGGCAATATATGTAACCTAAACAGTTGTACCCCCGTAATATGCTGAAAAAGAAATGATATCACAGTTTATTTACTTTCAAAATTGATAATGACCACAGTCACAACAAATTTTAATCCCTCAATTTTCTAAACAAAACTCTTGAAAAGTAATGAATGAAAAGACATTTTGTTTATAGATCCAGTTTTGTGTTTCAACAGAACACTGTTGGCAAAAATAAAGGCCCTACCAACCCTGGTGAACCAGCATCTGCAGATTTGAATGGTAAAAGGGGTAGTGTTCACAGTAAAGGCCATTCTTCGTTACCTTTGCAAACGAGCACCTGGAACACAAGAGAAAATGGGGCTTCTCAGCAGCCCAGTAATGCTATTTCTAAAGAAATGAAAAATCCTTCCATTGGTAACTCTACAGCACCTGAAGAAACACTGAGTGAGTTTTAAAAATAAGTTCTTTTGCTGATAAATGTTGAATCTGGGTGATGCATTTATGTATTATTATATTTTTGTATTTGTATTTTTATCATTGTATTATTCTGTTTACTTTTATGTATGTTTGAAAAATTTCATAAGAAAGCAAAACAATTTAACCTCTTATATTAATGAGTTAATGAAATATAGATGCCTACTTCTCAGACTGGTTGCTTTTAGTGTGAAGCCAAATCTGTTATTTTTCCTGCACAAAGCAGCTCTGTGCCGACTCATCCGACACATGTGAGCGCTCTGATGAGGCACCATCCTTCACAGCTAGGACGAAGTTCTTATTCTCTGTGTGCCTGCCTGGCACGTTGCAGGTGCTCAATAAGGATGTTTGGCATAAATTAATGAACCCCTTTCCTTAGAACATTGTGTTCCCACTGCTAAGCTGGCTGTTGAAGGAGCGTCCTGCTTTGATTAGTACTGTGTGGCAGTGGTTCAATAGGTGACTGTGCCACCTGCCATTCATGTGTCACAGTGCATCTTCCCCGGGATGCTACTAGTGTGTGGCACCTGAGGCAACAAAACTTGATTCTGTCTTTACCCTGCCCCCATGTTAACCCTAACTAGAACATTACCTGGGATCCCATTCAAACAGAATTATTGAAATGACATATCTTTATATTATTTTTACCATTATAAAAGCAATCTAACTACTGTATTTGTTAAGGTTCTACACTGTAGAAACAACAACAAAAATCACCGGACCTGTAGCTCCCATATTTAAAAAAACAAAGAACAAATCGAGCCTCAGGCAGACAGGAACCAGAGCAGCCCCAAGACTGTGGGAAAGAGAAAGAATTGCATCTGGAGAGCTTGGGTCACATGTCTCTAACCCTCCCTCAGCTATAACGAGGGACAGGCCAACTGTGAGCCAAGCAAGCCACCATAGTTTGTGTGTAGTCTGTTGCACATGAAACATTATGATCTCCATATAATCACTCTCCTTCTCTAACATAATATGTATATGTTTTTCCTCAAAAATCGACAACCTTCATAATCGTTGCTCTCAATAGGTTTATAACATTCCATTGAGTAAGTGTACCCCAATTTATTTAACTACCTTTCTCTTTTTTGAAGGTTTTTGGGAGGGGAATTATAAATCACACTAACACAAAAAATCTTCATTTGGACAGCTTTTTCTATATTTTGGATTACTTTCTTAAGTTAGGGTCTCAGAAATTGAATTACCAGGGTAAAGAGTATTGACCTTTTTTTCTGATCCATTGATAAATGTTGCTTGGTTAATCTCCTAGAGTTAAGTGAGGTATGTCTTTGGACTCATCGAATGCCTTTCTAAATAATCTCTCTTGGTAAATGCTGAATCTGGATGATTCAGCAGTTATACTGCCACCCATTAAATGATGGATGTTCTGAGATGAAAAATAATGTTTATTGACTTGTAAGAATCATAGTGTATTTCTCTAATATATTTTCTTCAACAAATAATTCCTTTATTGTACGTAAAATATAATATTTTTCAAATATGATTCATCGAATCACTATGGACTGAAGTTGATGATTAAGCTGCAGAGTTGAGAAGTGAAAACAGGTTTAAAATTTATTTTTCAGTTCAAATAAGGTATCTAAAATACATTATGTAAGATGAATCAGCAGTCTGTTGATTTTTGAATGAGTTTAATACTAAATAAAAAACCTACATTTTAATACTTATAAATATTTCAGCAAGAATCATGGTGCTTATTTTTTAAAAAGCTTTCTTATAAGTAGGGAAACAATGCATTAAAATTACTAATTTGTTACTAAATGTAATTTTAAAACTTATATCCTGAAAGGTAGCAGAATACTAAATCTTCCTCTTGAACATGGGAGCATGTGTAATCACAGTAGCAGTGATTTCTACTCATCTCTCATGCTGTCTTATAATCCACTAAAAACAAGGCTTTACATTCTTTTAACTTCTTGAATTCTTGAGCCAAAAAATTCAGAAAAGTCAACCTATTACAGCCTTTTAAAAACAATGCAACCTAACATCTGCCATGAAAATTGACATCTTTTGCTTTTGCTCCTAGATTATTTTGGAAATCCACGTAGAAATATACAGATGCCATATTCAGTACTGAGTACAGCAAAAGAGAAGTCTCGCCCAGCGCTGTCAGCCAGATACCTTATTCGTAACCTGTTCTCTGAGGACGTCCTGGTCAAAAGTAATGTCTATGGCAATCTGGGGCGTGGCGTGAGTGCCCTTAACCCCAATAGGATCAGCGCTCTCCGAGGTTTGTTACATGTAGAGTATGTCACAATAAATAAAGGCTAATTGTGTTGTAGAAGAAGAGCAGAAAGAAAAGTCCATTCAGTGCGTTTATGTTCTGAGGAGAGATGGAGCTCATATTAAGTCCTCATTAGCGTCTAACAAGGAACAGGTTCATGAATTGCATTTCTCTTTGTATTTGGGTTCTTAGGGCTAATTGCTCTGTCTCGAATGGCTTTACTAGAACAGGAAAGATGTTATTGAAGGTGGCTCCCTGCTCTGGACTGCCAGGGGTATGGGGACTCAAACACCTTCATTGACAGGATCAAGGTGGAAGCTGCAGGGCTTCGTCAGTTTGCAGAAGTATCAACAATAGCAGAGAAGGTTAATATGCTAAGTTTTTCTTGTGCTCATTAGCATCATATAGTCTCTATCACATAGGTAAATGAAGTAATAAAGCTTCCAAAAACAATTCTGTGAAATCTTAAATTTGGACAAAGCAGGAAGCAGAATATTTCCTTGTGTCACTGGTACCCAGCAAAGATGTAGCTCTGAACCCCAATCTAGCTCAGTTGGCTCTTTGGTTCCTACCTTCATAATCACACATTTTCATATCCAATAAATTCAAACAGCACTGGTGTTTCAGACTAAAGAAACCTGGTTTACAGCTCCTTCTGTAAGCATTTGCTAGCATCTAACCCAATTGTTTTCAAACTTCTTTTTTGCTGCAATCCATAACAAGAAATACATTTTACATTGTGACACTAAGTACACGGCTCTGTGTGTGTGTGTGTGTGTGATTTTTAAAAAAAACAAAGCAGAAGTTTCACAAACAGGATTTACTCTATGAGTGTGGCATTTCAATGTTTTCTGCTCTATTACATTTCTTTTTTAAGGTTTGCAATCGCTGATTTCGTGACCTAGTAATTGATCACAACTTGCAATTCAAACATCACTGAGCTAACCCATAAGACAAAAAAACCCAAACCCAATTTCTCTTACCTTATGGTAAAAACAGTTTGTAGCCAATTCTGAAATGAACATGTTCATAGAAGAAATAACATCTTTTTAATTAAATTTTTTTTATTGTGAGGAAAAATGTAACTTTTATAGTTCTTTAATATATGGAATAGATTAATTCCTTCAAAGTTGATGAAAAATATTTTCCTAAGTATTTTATCTTGTTTTATATCTTACTGAATTATATTAAAATCAGGAAGCTGTCTTTTGCAGTAAAAAATATTCAACATGCATTTGACATACTATCCACATAGAGCAGATTTTAACAAATTCCCCATAAGACTCAAAGTTCCATTGCTTTGTAGAAGGGCAGTCATGTAAAGTTAGTTCAGTAGCGAGAAAACAGTAGAGTCATTGTTTTTCCTGAGGGGCAGAGTCAGGCCCAAGGAGTAGAAGCTGACAAGGAAGCATATTTCACTTTAATATTAGGATAAAATGAACTTGGAGAATGAAAAGAGTCAGAAAGCAAAGGCTGGGTGACCAGCAATGAGAGGTGAGGGAAGACCCTGCACTTGTGGGAGGACTGGGCTTATGGCTTCCATATAATTTCTGAAATAGTATTACTTAATTTTAAACGAGTTCAAACATACAGAAATGTATAGAAAAGAATATAATAATATAATAAACACCTGTCCACCCATCACTGATATAAACCTTTTGCCTTTTGTGCTCCAGGTTTTTAATTTAAAAAAATAATAAAGCATTACTGCTATAATTAATACTCCAAGCCATCAACCCTTTCCCCTCTCCTGCTCCCCAGAAGTAATCACTCCAAGTCCTGGAGTTGGTATATCATTCCCATGTGTGCTTTATACTTTTGCTACCTATGTTAATGGACCCATAAATAATATATAATATTCTAGTTGTTTTCATGTACATTTTTTGTACATTTTTGCACATTTTTTTTATCACTCACCATTATGTTTTTGAGACTTGTTCATACATTTGAACTGCTGATTGGTATCCCATCCAATGAATAAACCAATTTATTCTTCTAGTCTAATATCATTTCCCCTAAGATTTTGTTATTTGGGGGAGTTAAGTATCACAGAGTATAATTTATATGGAGGAAGTTAGTAGGCTGCAGATTTGCAATCAGTGAACAACTCTCACTCCTTAAACCCCCTATGCATGTCTTCATATTACAGAACTATAAAATCTTAGCAATAGGAAGTGCTTTACAAGCCCTCTAATACAACATTCAGCCCAGAGCAGGAATTATTATCTCAGCTTCGACATAGAGTCGCCTCCCCTGGGCTTGAACATTTCCATTGGTAAGGCTGCCTCTGTCTCTCAGTAAGGCAGTCCACTGCGTTTTCAGGGAGCTCCAATTCATAGGAAAGTCATTCCTCCTAGTGACTCAAAATGTACCTCCCTGTAAGTCATACACATTTGTCCTGGCCTTCAAGTAGTTAATGACAGCTATTACTTCCTCCTGGGCCTTTAGGAGATAATAACTACACCTCCTTTCCCTCCCTTTTAAGTTCAGAACCAAGTGAGAGACAGCCACTCAAATCAGGCAAGTGGAGATAAAAATAGCAGCTTTATTCTTGAACCATACGTGCTCAATTCATCTAAACTTTCCAATGTAAAGATCTCCCCCCATGGAAGTGCAAGGGTTGAAAGGAAGTGTTCCACCCAACCTTTTCCCGCTTAAGCCTTACACTTTCACGGTGAAATATCACCATTTCCTTCCATAATTCCTCACATAAATATCCTGATCCTTCATGATCTAATGACTACCTTCAGGTGATACAATAGTACTATTACCTATTATTTAGGCCGTTAATGCAGCCTAAAATGGCACTTGCCATTTTAAAATTTATGGTCAACTGAGACCCCTAGATCTTTTTTTCTATATACTGACACTTATCCAGTACTTATATTGTTAGTATTCAGGCTGTTACCATTTATACTATTAGTATTTTTTTAATGTAAATGTAGAAAAAATATGAATATAAAAATATTTATTCCTCCTGCATTTTATCCTGTTAGTGTAGGTCAGCATTCCCCAAGTTGTGTTTTTCCAAGATAGCTGAGTATTAATAGGTATTTCGTGAATGAAGTACCTTTTAGTCAAAGGGTTAGGAAAGACCTTAAACCTCAGTCAATAGGTAGTTTTCAGGGTTTCACTTGACTCTTAGTTTTGTTTTGTTTTGTTTTTTTTAAAGAGGCAGGGTCTTGCTCTGTCACCCAGGCTGGTGTGCAGTGGCATGATTGTAACAGCCTCCCTAGTAGCCAGGACTACAGGTGCACACCACCATACCCAGCTAATTTTAATTAATTAATTAATTATTTTTGTAGAGAGGGGGTCTTGTTATATTGCCCAGGCTGGTCTCAAACTCCTGGCCTCAAGTGATCCTTCCACTTCAGCCTCCCAAAATGCTGGGATTATAGGTGCGAGCCATTGACTCTGAGCCTGGCTGACTCTGAGATTTAACACGTTTTGAATGCCTTTAAGTGTCAAGCCCACCCGGATCTCCCCATTCCTGACCCTTGACCCTCTGTTGTCTTAAGCACTGCCACCTCCTTCATTTATGGGACCCGCCAACATGGCTGCATCTAGAACCTTTGAATCTGTGAAAGGATGTTCCGTGTGTCTTTACTGTGGGATTTTTCAGAGCACTGAATATGCTTATATGCAATGTAAATCTCCAAGTGGGGACTAACTCCGGAGTGTAGCATTGCCCATTTGCGCAACCAGAACCTTTTCCCCCAAGAAATTTTTTATGATTAGGATTTCAGAGAACACACTTTGGGAAACGCCAACCAATTTAGGCTCCTTGTTGCTACCTGTTGAAAGCTTTGCCAGTGCTGTATTTGTCTTCCAGTGTCTTTATTATCCCTCCCAGCTTTGCTGTCATGGGCAGACGGGACAAGCATTCTTTCCATAACTTATTTTTGGTTAATAAAAACATTTAGCAGGATAGAGCTGGATACTGAATCCAATGACATACCACAAAAGCCTCTTTCCAGGCTACCCCTGATCTACTCATTAGTCCTTTGGACATGAAAGCCTTTTAACCTTGACAAAAAGGTTTAAGCCTTGTTAAAAAATTTGGATATCTGCTGTATTTATGGCATTGTCCTGATTTATTGGCCTATTAACCCTATCGAAAAACTAATGAAATTAATGCTGACCTGTAGAGGTCACCAGATCCTTTTCTAAGGCATTAAGACTCAAAGGCACTTAGGCAATTACCTAACAAAGTATCCAAGGGCAACGCTGCTCTTCTAATAAGCACCTCTCTTCCCCACCTCTTCCTTTGTCTGTCCTCCCACTTTCTGCTAAGAGTGCTCCTTGAATTCTGTTACTCTGTCACCTTCCCTTATAGGGAAGTCTTTCTTTGACTGCAAGATCTAAAGAACCCTGATTCCTTTTGTTAGAGATAAATCTAGCAGTACTAAAAAAGTCAGCAGTTACAACTTCTTGCCTCTCCAAGTATGAAGACACTGCTGCCTCATGTGCATTACAGAGGCTTAGCATGTCTCTTTTTGAAATGATGAGTGACATGCTAGATGCATGTTTGATACATTTAAGAATAAGAAAAGTTGACCATCAGTTCTCAAGACAGTAGAGGGTTTCTATCCTGGTATGTAGCAAGATCATGGGAGATTGTTGCTTCATTGTGATTTAAGAATGGTGCTATTTCATATAATAATCCTTTTAGATTAGAAAATTTGTTCAGCTAAATTAATAATGATTATAGTCCATGTGTTCTATTTAGTTAAAGTCTTAATGACCCTTTCAAGACACAGTAGTAGAATTAAGGTTGAATAGATTCATTTCTCTGAGAAGTGATTTCCAAGTAACTGTTGTGTTTTGGGACTTTACCACCAGAATTTCTCCAAGATGTCTACCCGACTTGTGATCTATCGGAAACCGGGCATGACTGGAAGTTGTGTGTGACAGCGATCAACAGCTGTATCCGTAGCCTCAGATATGACCTCAAGAAGTCCATAGCCAAATCCAAGAAGCTTGCAGCAGCGACCCCTTCAGCAGAGTCAAAGCCAAAAGATACTGCCTCAACTGACTGAAGTACCTGAATGTCAACTGTCTAAATTCTTTAAGCTGTTACATCATTTTGTATGTTTCTCAAGTTATAATTCCAAAATTAGCCTTTTGTAGTGGCAAAGTAATTTTGCACTCACACCTGAAAAAATAGGCAAAGCTGTTTTTCTGCCTGTTAGGGAGGGAATTGCATTAGGAAGACATGTGATGCTTCATTTCTGGAATGCAGGGGTGGCCAGTATTTTGATGAGAACCTCTGATGGAGGTAATGGGAGAGAATGCTTCATGGTGGTCATTGCTGCTGAATGGAGAGTAAGAAGAGCAGCACACTTAGCACTTACTGATAGATAAAATCTGATTGTCAGTGAGTTATGAAGAGAACTGTAGTTAGAAAAAGCATAATGCCAAGTGTAGAAACATGCACATAGTAGACACAGTATTCTCCAGGTGAATAGTAACTATAGAGCTTAGGTTTAAACTCTGCTGATTCAGAAGCAAGGGTTTGGTTTACATGCAATCAGAACACCACAGTGGCTTTCTTATATATCCACCATAATACTAGGATTGACGTCACATTGTTTAACCCAAGCTTTCCAGAGACAAGATCTATGTTCTCTGGATTTACTACTGATGAGAATGACATTCTTTGAATTAATTCCTGATAACATTCCATCACAGAAGTTTGCTCAGAGTGAACCGAGAAAATCATATTAGGAGACTTGTTGGTTCCATTTTTATAATTTAAATTTAAGAATATGGCACTATGAATAATAAGAATCTGACCAAATTCAGACACTAACATTATTTTTGGTTTTTGAAATGTCTGGATGAAGGTTTTAATATGTTTGCTGTGTTTTTCTGATAAATTCTACTAGTTAAAATGATTCTACTAATCGAAATGCATACAAATTTAAATCTTACAAATTTAAATCTTACATGAGAAAAGATTGATCAGAAATTCAATTAGAAAAAAGTGGTCTTAAAGAATATTGGTGGGATTATTAGAGAATTTAAAAATAATTGGATTTTGCTCCCACATAGGGTTTTATTTTTAACTGATGCACTTTTTTTAAAGGCAGTCTTGAATGTTTTAGCCGTAGGAAATACTATATAATTTCATTCTTTTATCATTTGTGTTTAAGAAACATTTTGTCACTTTTAGTGCCATCTTTCCACTTCTAACCTCTCAAACAGTCCTCAGTTACATTTATTTTATAGCATTCTTAGGCATTCAAAAAGCAAATTTTTTTCCTTGTAAGAGTTCAACCTTTAGTTATGGCCATTTGCTCGTGACCCATGGCTTTGTCTTAGATAATTGACTTTAATTCAAGTTTTTTATAAGGTAGAGAAGCAAATTCAATAGAAAGTAATGAGTCAGTCAAATAATATAAATTTTTGAAAATTGACAATTCTTTTTATTTTTGTGACTTGCAAGATAGTTTAAGATGTTTTCATGTGACCAATTCGTAGAATGGATACATATTTTCATATGATATATTTTTTTGAAAATTCAACTTTTAGATTATTTTAGTGAAATATAGTTTTACAAAGATAAGATATTCAAGATTTATTTTTAAGACTATTCTTTAAATAAATAATTTGCTGTAGTAGATGCCTTTAGCTTAATAAAACCATAGTATTTCTACATACACCTTTATATGTTAGGCTATGCCTACAAAGGTCTTAAAAGTAGATAATTCAAGAACATCTTTCATAAAAAATCTTCCATAGAGGGCAAAGTGTTTTGACTAGAGTTATTCAGATTTATTCATGTAAGATAGTCTTTGGCTTCTTCACCATTCAGTTTCATAAATAATTTTAGAAACTCCTGGCAATATAGCTAATACAGAAAAGTAATCCACATTTTAAATATAGATCAATATATCACATTGTACCCCATAAACATATACAATTATTATTTGTCAATTCAAAATAAAATTAAAGAAAGAAAAGTAAAGTTATATCCTAGGCAAGAGTAAATTTCAAATGGTATATGCAGATTCATGGTATATGAAATATTCCCTGGACTAGAAACAAAATCACAAAAACAAAACTTTATATTTACAAAAATGTTTCAAGATTTATGTGGCCAACTTATAGTGGTTGCTTACATAAATTATTGAGAGCAACCCTGTCCAATAGAGCTTCCACAATGATAGAAAATGAAATAAACCTTAAAAAATTAAAAGAAAATACATTTGCATTGTCCAGTGTGGTAGTCACTGGGCACATGTGGCTATCTGAGTATTTGAGATGTGACTAAGTAGACAGAGGAAACACATTTAAAATTCGATCTCATTTTAGCTACTGAAAACTTAAAATTAAGTAGCTACAAATGGGTAGTGGCTACTGTGTTGGATGGCATAATTCAAAATGCCCTTTATTAAAAAAATATTTTAAATGTTTCCTATAGCTTGAATTATAATAATATATACACAACTTCTTGAAAATCACATTTTATTGAGTAAAATAAATTTTGTTGTATTTTACTTTAAACTAAATTGGACCTTTATTATTTTCAAAATTTTACAAAGTAATTCTGCTATTGTATTAGTGCCAGGCTAAACATTTTTTCAATGTAAAACACTTTAGATGCCTGTTCATAAGACTTTTTTTGATTAATAAATTTATCTTTAACATTTTGTTTTCCAAATACAATCAATAAACATTTAAAATGTTCTTACTGCAGATGCTCGTGTTGTTTTATTTTTTAATGAACTCATTTTGCAGAACTTTTACTAATGTTATCTAGTGCTTTATGTTTCAGTCAGTTTAGTAAATGTAACACAGCTAGAATTTTTACTTTCATCCTTGATATGCAAAACAGAATAGTTTTACCCAGTAACAATAATTTACCATGGTGGTTATCCTTGTAAGGCTATTGAAAACTTTAGCAGTGCTTTGTCCTTCCCGGGTAAAATATAAGTATTAGTAAAGCATGTCATTTTATGGTTTAATACTTAACTTAAATATATGGTAGTATTTAATTCTAATTTTATTTTTTTGACACAGAGTATCTATCTCTCCATTGCCCAGGCTAGAGTGCCATGGTGTCAGCCTAGCTCACAGCATCCTCAAACTTTTGGGCTCAAGCAATCTTACTGCCTCAGCCTCCTGGGTAGTTGGGACTACAGGCATGCACCATGGCTAATTTGTCTTGTTTTTTTTTTTAGTAGAGATGAGGTCTCCCTCTTGCTAAAGCTGGTCTCTAACTTCTGACCTGAAGGGATCCTCCCCTACCTCGGCCTCTGCAGAATGCTAGGATTACAGGCATGAGCTACTGGTAGTTCTGTCTGGTAGTATTTAATTTTGGCCAGCAAGGCTATTATTTTCACTTCTGGTTTCAGTTTTCCTCATATCCCATATCTGCATCTAGCAGAATAACTTCTCTGTGGCGATTTAATGATACTCATTTTCAGTATGAATAAAGTGCTTGTCACCCCTTCCTTTCATCCTAACTTATTTTAACTCACCATATGTTAAATTTGCAATGACCTTTTTCACCATTGCTAAAAAAATCTGGTCATCTACTTTGAGACCAAATAATCAGTAATCTCAAATAATTAGTAAAATCCAGATTGTTGCAAAAGGTATTAACCTTTTTTATGGCTGAATAGTACTCCATGGTATATATACACCACATTTTATTAATCCACTCATGAATTGATGGGCACTTGGGTTGATTCCACATCAAGCATTACAAAAGTGATCCATGTAACTTAAAACATTTGCATCCTCTTAATATTTTGAAGTAAATTAGCAAAATCAGTTGGGAAGATTGATGAGTGATAGGTATAAATCTCAGTCCACAAACACAGGTGGGAAAGAAATATAAATATTTTTCTATAACAATTTCTATTTTGAGCCTCCAAGCATTGGGAGTAGAAACTTTTATCTTAGTGGTTCAAGGCTTTTGAGTTTCATTGAAAGGCAAGGAAATAACCTGGGCTCTGGACGGGAGTAGGTTTGAGAGAATGCCAATGGCAGTGTTTCATCCTTTCTTCCAGACTTGCTTCTAAGTTTTAGGGGTCTTCTACAGTGCCAAGTGGGGGAGAGGGCATCAGAATCAGGTTCTTGCCATTTTTCTTAGCCATCAGCAGCTGAGATGTACCCTGTCCCAGCTGGTCTTCAGTCAGTGGCCCATAGCCATTCTTATTCCTGTCCTCAAAACCCATTCAGATCAAGCAGCTCCTGTCTCTGCTGCCCCCAGCACCCCCTCAAGCTCAGGGCAATCATTTTGCTGTGGCCTTATAATTTTGCGTCACAGGAAATGTTTTGTCCAGTTCTCCATACACGTCCATGCAGTACTGGCTACATAAGTTGCAGGCCCAGTGCAAAATGATGAATTCACTCTTGATACTAGTTAGATAGCTCAGTCTTTTATTTTTCAACTTTATTTGGGGCTAATTTTGGACTTAAGAGCTGCAAGAATAGCACAGAGAGTTCCTGTATGCCCTTCATTCAGACTCCCCTGATGTTAACAGTTTTCATAACCATGGTACAATGATCAGAACCCAGAAATTAATGTCAGCACAATACTGTAAACTCCAGATTGTCTTCGTATTTCACTAGGTTTTCCACTGAAGTTCTTTTGGCTTCCAGGATTCAATCCAAGGTCCTACCTGGCATTTAGTTGTTACACCTCCTTAGTTTCTTCCAATTTGTGATAGCTCCTCTGTCTTTTCTTATTTGTCATGACCTTGATACTTTTGAAGAGTACTGCTCAGTTGCTTTGTAGAATGGCCCTCCATTTGAGTTTGGCTGATGTTTTCTCTTGATTAGATTGAGTGTATGCATTTGGGGGGAAGAAACCCTACAGGTGATGTGCTATTCTCAGTATTGTGGCCTTTTGAATTTTCCAATAAAATAGTTATAAGAACAGTTCAGTAGTTTGCCCAAAATCATAGAGCTGCTAGCACCAAAGTCAGGACTAGACCTCAAGTCTCACTTTTATGGCAGGATGTTACCACTGACCCATAAATCCTTTCATGTGTGTTTCAATACTACTGAGTCATTCAGTAGTTGCCTTCTAGGATTGTGACTGCCGATCCCTTGTTTGGCCACAGGACAATGACATGGGGGCAAGGAAGGCTGGGCTGTGGAAAGAAATTCTAGAAGAAAAATATTGCAAAGTTTAGTGCTCACTCAGTATCCCTGCTGCTTCATGAATGGCGATGATGATAGACACCACTTATTAAGCCCCAGCTGTGTGCCAGCCACCATGCTATGTGGGCCTGACACTCCAGCCTCAACTCGGCATCGTCACCTTCCCCTTCTAGAATCTCTGTGTTGCAGAAGAGAAGCTGAGAAGCACATTTCCCAAAACCCCTGTCTCAGTATGGTTCCAATTTAGATTTTATCAGTGAGAAGACCTTGTATGAAATTTGAAGGCAGAAGAGAAAGAGAAGTCATTCTCCACAGCCAGACACGTGGGCAGAGGTGAGATTTATAGAAGCTTACTGAGGAACTTAGGAGAAAGGCGCTCCACAGCTGCAGACAGAGGTAGGACTCGGGTTGAGAGGATTTTCAGAGATTCTTGAGAACTTCTTAGCAATCTTTTGAGAATTTCCCCCCTTGGTGCTTCAAGCTGAGGTCTCCAATGTCTGCTCCCTTTATCTTTGCTGGCACCTTCTTTGACTTTGTCTTTCCTACCTCTTTTGATAGTCCTGAAAACCGCTAAAGCCTACGCTAAAACCTTTTGTACCTGGTGCACATAGCATGGCTTCTGTTTTTCGAACTGGCCCCTGATGTAGTATAACGTGTCAATGCATTCGATCCTTTCACCATCCCAGGAGTATGTGTTGTTTTAAACGGGGGAACTCACAAGTCGATTGTGCCTGTACCCGTCAATAAGCAGCTGGATGAATATTTCAGATATTTCTTAGCCATAAAGCTGAAAATCTTTGTTATCAGAATGTGTGTTGTTTTGTGAAAAGAATGAAGATCAAATTTTCATTTATTTTCTTTTCTTTTTCAAATATAAAAGGCTGTTTCCATAAGAAAGCACTTCCAGGCACTCTGAAAGCATTCAGAAATCTGAGGGCTAGAGGTTGATAAACTCCCTTTCTTCCAGCTGGTGGCATTAGAGCACGCAGAGCCAGCCTTAGCATCGCTTCTTGCTGACTTATTTGTCTTTGCCACTAGCCTGAGTCTCCTGAGTGCAAAGATTGTCTTTGGCGCCTAACACAGGGAAAACTGTAGATACCCAATAAACAAAAGCATGCCTCAGTCACCCTGCTGCAGCATGCCTGCAGTTCCACCATCAATATTGTTTCTTGGGTTTGAGCCTTATTTGAGCTTTTTCCCCTGTAAAAATATAAGTTCTTTCTATGCTCGTCCCTTATGCCTTCATTAAGTTGAATCCATTCCTTAATATTGGTTTGATTTGGAGTGTGAAGAGAGCTCAAGGACTTCTTAGTCTTGAGAGAGACTTCTACACAAAGATAAATGTGCAATCAGGGCTGCAACATCCTCTGAAAACGGGAAAAAATTGGAAACAACGTGGTAATTTTTTTTTTACAAAAAAGGTAAAATCATGGCTCTCTGTACAGATAAAAAATGAACAGATGCTGGATATTTCATTTAACTCATTACTAATGGGGAACTGGTAACGTGTTACAACTATTTCAAAGGACAATCCAAAGAACAGACACGTGTATAAACCAAGAATATTAAAGTGAATATGCAAATTGGAGGCATGAGGGAAGGAAGTCAGTTGAATCTCCACCAGACAGAATTTATTTGCATGTCTATAAATGCATTACTATCAGGTACATGCAATTTTCAGAATCCAAAAATGCTTCAAAGACAACAAAAGGTACAGAATCAGAATCTGAGGCCCCAGAAGGGTGTGCTGTAAACAATGCAGTTTTCCACCAAAGCACAATTTTTTCCCCTATGAACTTAAAAGTCCATTAATAGAGAACTGGCAGCGTAGATTAAGAAACCACCACTACAGTGGGAAAGAATGTATTCGTTAAAAAGAATGAGGCTAATATTAAAGTGAAAGGCAAGCCATAGATTGAAATTATTCACAATACATATGTTTGATAGGGGACTTGCACCCATTATATATAAAAGATTCTATGAATCAACAATAAAAAGATGAGCAACCTAATTAAAAAGTGGGCAAAATTCTTGAATGGGCAGTTCATAAAAGAAGATATAAGAGTAGCCCATAAGAACATGAAAAAGTGCTCAACATCATTAGTCATCAAATTAATGCAAATTAAAATTGTAATGAGATGTCAGTATCCATCCATCAGAATGGCTAACATTGTAAAGACTGGAAACACAAAGTGCTGGTGATGCTGTACAACAACTGGAACACCATATACTGCGGGTAGCAGTGTAAGTTGGCATAGCCACTGTGGAAAACTGTTTGGTAGTTTTCTAATAAAATTAAATGTACATTGCCAATGACCAAGCAACGATAAGTATATTCCCAA